TTTTGATTTTTTGGGATATTGTAGCCTATTTAATGCTCTATCCAAAGATACCAAGAACAAAAAAAAGTGACCAGCCCTTAATAAGTTATAGGGCCCGGGACTCGTTTGAGTCTTGACTCAGTTGACCTTATAAATTAGATTTTAATTTTTTCAATTTTTAACAAAAATTAAATTTTTAGGAAGGAAAGGGAAGATATGCAAAATAAAAATTTATCCATTTATGTCCTTATTTTACAATTATTTATTTTTTATTTTATTAATTTTGTCACATCAATTCATTCAAATAAAAATGAATTAAGAAAATCGACAATTAAAATTCAAGGATATTCTCCTGAACAGGTAGATTATTTAATAAAAAAATATTTAAATTTTATTTTTTTAGAATGATGATTATGTGTCTGTGGCGATGAAAGCTGAACCTGGTTATATTGGTATATTTTTAAAAAATAATTAAAATATTTTGTATTTAATTTAGATAAAAATTAAAATTATTTTTATCTTCTTAAATAATTAAAAAATGTTTTTTATTTTATAAACATGACGTTTTACTTAATTATTTTAATATATTTTTTATTCTAGTAAAATTTGAGCCGGCTGCCCATGCTGATCGTGTTCACCACATGTTTGTTAATTTTTTTGTTGATTTTTGATACTTGGATTTTCTGTTTAAGCTTTCTACTGATTTTTCTTTCCATTTTTAAATTAACTAGCGGAGGTCTCGCCCTTCGCGTGAGCAAAAAAACTCTCCCCCTTCTCTCTCGCTATTTAAATCAATTTTTTTTCAGGCTTCTTTACGGTTGTACAACTCCAGCTTATACGGACAAAAACTTTTGGAGAGGTTTCAATATTTTTTTAAATTTTTAAATTATTTTATAAGAAAAGGTGGTGCAACGTGTAGCACTGGAAATCATATTTTATATGCTTGGGTTTTTTTTAAATTTTTAAAAAATTATTTTTTAATTTTTGAGGCAAGAAATGCACCTCCTCTTGTATTACCAGAAAATGTTGGATTTGCTATTGGAAATGAAGATGATTCTGTTCAATATATTATTTTGCAGTAAGTTTTTTAAATTGTTAATATAATATTTAAAAAATATGGGGAATATTCACCTTCTTTTAAGTTGCTCGTTTTTACCATTTGGGAGTATCTTTGTTTCTTTCATAAAATTTTTTGTTTAAAAGACGAACAAAAACTTTTGGTATGTCTCAATATTTTTTTAAAATTTTCTAGTAACCCTTTTTCCAGTTCTAGTAACCCAAGATCTTAAATATAAACCCAATTCAATTTTAAAATTATTAAAATAATTTTCAGAATTCATTATGCAACGCCATTTGAAGGCAATGTGATAGACTTTTCTGGTTTTTTCTTCCTCCTTGTTTAATTATATTTTTCTATTTTTAGGAGTTACTTTACATCTAACAAGTCAAAAACCTCAATATGTTGCTGGAGTTTATTTATTTGTTAGCGGAATGCCTATACAACCTGGCCATTCGGCTTTTTATACAAATGTTAGCTGTAGCTATAATTCTGATACAAAACTATATCCTTTCGCGTAAGAGAATTTTATACATAATATTCTCTTTTTTCCGATTTTCGGCTTTTTCTGATTGTCCCATGTAAACAATCAAACTGGGTTTGAGTTATCTAATATTAGATTCCTAATTTTAGTTTTATTTTGAGAAGACCATCCATTTTTGTCTTTATTCTAGTAACCCTTTTCTCGATTCTATTTTTTGATTTTTATCGTAACTTTCAAGTTTTCGAACGCATACACACGAAATGGGAAGACTTGTTTCGGCTTATGTTAAAAAATCTAAAACTAGGAAATGGTTACAAATTGGAAAACGTAACCCATTATGGCCACAGGTTTTTTTAAATTTTTCCTTCTAAAATAAAATTTTGTTAACCTTTCAGCTTTTCCAATTAAGAGAGACTCCTTTAGTTATTGAAAACGGAGACTTTTTAGCTGCTATTTGGTTAGTTCCGTGAATAAAAATATTTTTAAGTAATTTTTTAGTCGTTATGACTCAAGTGATAAAACAGAAGAAGTTCCGATGGGAAGTATGGGATCAAATGAAATGTGTAATTTTTACATGATGTATTACCAAGACAGAAATGACCCTGACCCATTCCCTTATGGATCAGGATGTTTTGGTAATTCGGCATCTTTTCCAGCAAATGAGTACCCCGAAGGTAAAATATTTTTTAAAAATAATTTTATATTCATTTCTCTTAAAGAAGGAACGAAGCTTTTACCTCCACACCCCGAATTGAGACATCAGGCAAATCACAGTGCGGAGCCATTTGGGGTATTAGAACGCCATAGAATTGAGGAATTGGCCGATATACAGTTGGGACAGATTGCAGGTCTAACATTTGATCAAAATGGAAATTTGGTTGTATTTCATCGTGCTGGTAGATTTTGGAATCAGAAGTCAGTTACCTAAAATATTCTTTTGATCCTCCTAAACGAAAAATTCGCTTTAGTTCTTGTTTGGGATCTTTAAAAAATTATTTTATTTTCAGCACTTTTAATGAAAATAATGTTTTTACTGATAAAACACCTATTAATGATCCAGTCATTTTAATTGTCAACGTTGAAGATAATGAAAAACCTAAATTGTTAGCTAAATATGGTGAAAAACGGTTAGTTACTAAAATTTTGTTAATTTAAATATTTCAATAATTTTGAAGTTTTTATCTTCCACATGGTATTTTTGTTGATCACAATGCATTTATTTATACTACAGACGTTGGATCTCATCAAGTAATTAAGTGGAGAATTGATAATGGTATGAAATAAATGAAAGATTATTTTGTTAGGTTTTTAGAGTTAATGAAGGGAATCGGAAATTGAGATTTTAAGAGAAATAATAAAATCTGCTTTAAATATTTGTTTAATTTTTTATTTATTTTTTAGAAGAACTTAAACAAGTATGGAGTTTGGGTGTAAAATTCATGCCTGGTAATATATTTTCTTTAAAAACATGACAATTTTTATTTCAAATTCAGGTTCTGATAAAAATCATTTCTGTAAGCCAGCAGGTGTTGTAGTTTCGAAAATGGATGGTTCTGTCTATGTTGCTGATGGTTATTGCAATAATAGAGTGAGTTAACTTTAAAAATTAAAGCATATTTTGAATTAATATTTTTAGGTTGTAAAATTTTCAAGTGAAGGACGCTTTATTTCTCAATTTGGCGAATTCAATTCTGGTAGATCTCGGCTTGGTCAATTTTCCCTTCCACACGATATTACACTTGTAATTAATTTTAATGAATTTTAAATTTTAATTCTTTAAAGGATGAGCAGGGAGGACGTATTTTTGTTGCAGATCGGGAAAATGGGAGGACTCAAGTATTTTCGATTTCTGACCATAAACCGCTATTTGACATAAAAAATCCAAATTTCTATTCAACTGTTTATTCTGTCTACTATCAACAGGGTTTGTAAAGATTTTGAGAGAATTTTTCTGATTTTGACTTTTTAGGTATTGGTCTACTTTTTGTACCGGGATTTTCTCCGCCAACACAAGATGGAAAGCCTCGACAAATTCAAGTTTATATTGTGCAGCCAAATTCAACACACGTTCAATACGCCTTCCGCCCCCAATCCGGAGATTTCCAATTACCTCATGTACTCAGGGCGAATGGTAACAATGTTTGGGTGGGCGAAATAGCTGGAAGTCGTGGTATTCTTTGGCATTTTGAGATTCATTCGAGCAGGATTGTACCTTCATTAAATGCTTCAAAGCAGAAAGAGGGTGGAAAAAAATTGATAAATGGAAATGAATCGCAAAGAGGGAATATAAGAAAATTGGAAAATGGAGGTAAACATGAATGTAAATTTGTTATGAAAAGATACGAATATAGTGAAAATAATAGATTAATTAGAAATTACAAAATTTTAAAATTACTGGGTAGGGAATACTTTTTAAAAATTAAAAAACTAAATATTTCAGACTATAATTAATTTTTATATTTTAGTTTCAATCCCTCTTCATCCCCAATCACTTGCAACGAGAAATTTTGCCATTGGCTCCACTTTAGTCTTTATAATTCTTTTCTTCTCAATATGCTTTGCTGTCTATTTAATTTATTGGAGTTTTTGCCATGCAAAAAAGCAGGATTTATTTGATAAACAGGTACTAAATTATTTCAAAATTTATTAAATATAAAAATATTAAGGGTTTCAAGCCATTGAAGACATCTGATTTGGCTGATGTGGAACAAGACTTTACCAGTTCGGATAGTGAAGACGAAATTTTGGAGGGAAGTCGGAAGAGGCAGGAGTCAGGCTTTTAATTTCTTTAATTGGGAGGCTTTTTTGAGTGGTTCTAATTTTTGTTTTTTATATTTAAATCTGTGATTTAGTAGTTTTACTTACACTCACTTTACATTTAACATTTAATAGTGCTAACTTAAATTGTGCTACTTCCCTATCTAATAGGAGCTTTCACTTTCCTACTTTCCCTTATCAATTGTTATTTTCTTATAAATTTTTATTGGGGATTGGACGGATATGTTGGTAATTGAGACTTTTTTCGGATTATAGAAACTAAACTTTTAAATTTCCTAAGAAAAATCGAATCTAGTTTCGATATAAGTTTAATTTATTTAACTTCAAAAAGGCTCATTGTATCTTCTTGTCCAATTCATAAATTCTATGAAAGCCCCCTCCCTCCCTTCTTATTTCATCGAATAGAGAACTAACCAGTTTGTTCAAAAAAATATTTTTAACAAATTATGCTTTAACAAATATATTTTATTCGATGAAATTTAATTTTATACCTGTTTAATAATTTGCAAGGTTCTATTGAATTACTTAAAATATTACACATATATAACCTTAATTTTTCAATTGTGAGGCATTCTAAATAAAACTTATGTATTAATTATTTTAAATTTTTTTCCCTCATGTTCACAAAATTTTTTCCAAATTTTATCACCTAATAATTTGAAATAAAGAGTAAAAATTTTTAATTTAACAAATAATTAATTATTATTGTACTCTACAAATTCCAGATTTTTTAATTTTTTCTGATTTTTCTTGTTTTTTCCTTTTCCCATTTTCTTGTTTCACTTCTTTATTATAATTATTCTCGAAATACCCGTTATTATTTGCTTTTACTTGATTTTTAATCTTTCCATTTTGCTGTTGTTCTGTATTCTGGAATTGGCGAATTTGTCGAATTAACGTGTGAAATATTTGATCAACATTTTGTCGGAATTTAGCTGATGATTCGATATAAGGAATTTTAAGACTAGCTGCCAAATCTTCAGCTTCCAATCGAGAAATCTGATTTAAAATTAATTTGAATTTAAATTAAATGTTTAAAGGGGATCGAATGAAGATAAAGTGGCCGTGTTTTTTCCCCATAGACTTTACTGTTTGCCGTCACGTAACAGTGTGCTTTATCAAAATTCCCATTTTTACCTCCCTTTCCAATTCCAAGTCACATTTATTTCCAACCAAAAGCATAGGCAAATTTTTGCAATTATTGTAGTTTTCAATAAATTCCCTCAATTTGAGCATATATTCAAGACTAGATCTACTAGCAACAGAAAAAACTAAAAGAAATCCATCACCAGTTTGGAAATGGGGTTCACGCATTTCAGCAAATTCATCTTGCCCTGCTGTGTCTACAACTAAAAAATATCTTAAATTTAAATAATTTTTAATTTTATTTAAAATTTTAACAACCAAAATATTTTAGGTAATTTAATTACCTTCAACTTTATAAAGCACATCATCAACAAAACAATTTTTTATATAAATATCAGAAATGGTCGGGTCATGTTCAGTGATAAAATATTGTTGAACAAACTATAAATAATTTTAAATAAAATTTAAGTTTTAATTTTATGTTAAATAATTTTTTAAAATAATTTTACGTTAAAAATAATCAAAAAATAATTTTTTTAATTTAAAAATAGAAAAGTTTATAGGATTTTATTTTTTGACCAAATTCTTACCTGTATAGTTAATGAAGATTTTCCAACACAACCCGAGCCAACCAAAACAATTTTTAATTTTAAAGGAATTGTTGATTGTTTTTGGCAATTTTCTTTTTGTTCTCTTTTTTGTTTTTTATTTTTTGTTAAAGTTTTCCCGTTTGTTTTGTTATTTAATTGTTTTTGTAAAGGTGAAGTTGTGTATTCGTTATTTAAATCAGAAGAAGGTAAAATTAAAGGCATTTGCCAAGAAGTGGAGGGAAGTTGTTGATGATTATTGTTGTTGGTTGTTGTGTTTATATTATTATTTGTTTTTTGTTGTTTTTGACAAATTTTGGACTTAAAATAGATTTTTTAATCAATTTATTTGGGGTTTAATAAAATAAGGTATGGGCCATAAATGGAGGAAATATTGAGAATTAAATGATGGAGGTGTAAGGATGATTAATCTGGAAGCATTTGCAATGTTTAGGTAGGGGAGGGGGAGGGGGGGGGGGTTAAATGATCACAAGGAGAAAAGCGAAAGGAAAAGTTGTCCTCGGTAGCTCACTCATTTGGTAGAGCACCTGCAAAAGTTTAATCGAGGCCAAGGAGCGCTGTCAGCAAAGTTGTAGGTTCGATTCCCTTTCGATGCCTAAATTTTTGCTAAACTCTTACTGAGGTATAAATGTTGGGAAAGACATTCTATCAATCAAAAAATCCAATTCCTTAACCAAAATTTGTTTTTCAAATAAATATTTAATTACATCATTTATAGGCAAATATAAATTTGTGGGTAAATTAAGTCGATCAACATCATCAAATACAAACTGAACATGATGGTGATTATTACCATTATTTTGTTTAGTTGAAAACCCATTTTGTTGTTGATTAGTTAATTTATTCATTTATTTTAATTAAAAATTATTTCGAAATAAATACAAAAACATTCTGAAAATAAAAATTATTTTTTATAAAAAATTTAAAATTATAATTTTTTAAAATTAAATTTCATTAAAAAAGTTTTTGAATTTTTAGAAGATCAAAAAAATTTATTTTTTGAGTTTTTTAAATTAATATTTTTATTTTAAATTAAAAAAAATTTATTAAAATTCTTTTTCACTTTTGTTAAAAATTTTCACCAATAATATGTATATTTATTTAATATATGTATTTTTAAAATAAATATTTTGTATGTGTTCAATAATCTTTTCCCATTTAGAGGAATAAAGGAAAGAAAAAATGTGAATCATTACAAAAAAATATTTTTATTTGTTTGTAAAAATATTTTTATAAAATAAATAATAAATTCCAACAAACAAAAAACAAATAAAAATAAATAAAATAATCATTTTATGATTGTACATATTTATTTAGAATTTGATAAATATTTTAGAAATGATGATACTAACAATAAATGTATGACAAATTAAAAAATATGAAAAAAATAAAAGAAGATTTAATTATTTCTTTTAAAAAATTAAATTTTAAATACAAATTTAACTGTATCGTCTCTGGAGTTATGGCTAAAACGAAAATGAAAAACAAAAAAAAAGATTTTATTGAAAGGAGAAAAGAGAAGAATGATGATTTTATAAATTTATGGAATTAAATTAATTTACACAATTCGAAATTAATTATGAATAATATTTTGAATATTTTTAAAAAATAAACAAATCAGTAAAAAAATTTAATTTACTCAATTTATTTTTTTTGAAGTTTATAAAAATAATTTTTTTTAATTTTTACTAATTTTATTTTTATTTTCTCTACATATATTTACAAATTGATTCCAATTTAAATTTGTTTGATAAAAAATAATAAAGACAAAAATGTGAGACTACATATTTATTTTAAGTGTAAAATTTTTTTAATTTAATTGAAGAAATTAAAATAATACAGAAAACAAAAATATTTTTTAAATTAAAATAAAATTAAAGATTCATTAAAATTTGTAAATTAAATTAAGGCTATTTGACTAAAGATTTTCCCTCATTTTGTAATTTTTTGGTGCTAAAGGATAAACAAAACTTACCTATTTAATAATCCCTTAATTTTGTTTAATAAAAATCGAAAAATAAATTTTAAAATTTCAAGCTGTGATTGGTCAAAAATTAATTTTAAAATCACCTAGCGGCAAAAATATTCTTAAGTTAAATTAAAGACTTTTATTTTAAAATAATTTTAAAAATTAATTAAATTAAAAAAGAATTTAATTTTTTTTATTTTTAAATTTTCCTTAATTATTGTCTTTTCCAAATAAAAATAAATGAGAAATTAATGATTTTAATATTAATAAAAATAATATTTTTTTCTTGAAAAATTCTCGATATTGATAAAACAAAAAATAAAAGGAACACACACAAGTGGTGGAATGAATGAATAAATAAAGGAAGAAAATAAATATATTATTCATTTAATTGTTATTGTCTAAATGAAGATGGATATATACTTCTTCTACACAATACAAAAGCGATGCTAGTAATAATAAGTAGAGGAGAATATATATGTGATTTTGTGGTTGGAAAGTGGTTGTTGGAAAGTAGAGGGGAAAGGCTAAAATGAAGAAAAAAATAAAAGGAAATTGGATTGTCACAAAATAGAGGGGGAAAGGAGAAGAAAGAGTTAGAAGAATGATTTTCCATGTGAATATAATTATTTAATTATTAAGATTAAAGAATTAAAATTAAAAGTATTTTTGTAGAAAGTGTTATAATTTTGCAATCAAAGTATTACAAAGATAAATTAAAATTAAAATCATTAGATTTAAGTGAAAAAAGTTTAAAATAAGATTAACATTCCTTTAGATACCTAGTATATCGCCCATACGTTTAAACAATTCCATAAATTCTTCTCTCAACGGAAGAAATACTTATGAAAAATTTTAAAAATTATTTAGAAAATATGTAGTACATATTCGAAACAAAAATTCTCAAAAAATAAAAAAGACTACACATTTTTATTTTTTATAAATGAGCACTTGAACTTCCACTTGAAAGTTATTTTTTTAAACTACATAATACTTTAAATATGAATGAATGATGGAAGAAATGGGCAACCAACTTTTAAATGCAGAACATTTTTGGTCGTTCACGAGGATTTAAAAATATTTTTTGAAAAACAAATAAAATTTTAGCGAACAAATAAAAACTTGTTTATATTGTCAATAGTAGAGTTGGGCGGGATCGGGATCCCGACGTAAAATCGGGATCGGGATTTTGGAATGATGATCCCGATCCCGATCCCGATCCCGACTGCGGGATCGGGATTGGACGAAATCGGGATCGGGATTCGGAATAATGATCCCGATCCCGGTCCCGATCCCGACTCGGGATCGGGATTGAAAAATCGGGATCGGGATTTAGTTAAAAAAAATTTTCAAAATTTAAATTTTTATTTACATTGCATATACCTCAATATAATTCCATAATTTTCATCTGCTGTGCTGAAATATTGATTTTAAGTCCCAGCGCGCATTTGTTCTTGGCGTATCAGGGATTAAGGAGGAGGGATAAAGTATTAACGATAAGGTGATTCTGATGGATTAAGAGGGATATCGTTGATTAATGAGATATTGGGATCTAGATGGACATCTAGGATATCCATTATATCCGTTCAAATCCATTCCGTCGATAGTTTTATAAATGAGTCTCTTCTTATTCACCGCCGGAGGCAAAAATTTTGAAAAATTTCGAAGATTCTCAAGCTAAAATCTTCATTTTTAGCGCCGCAGGCGAAAATTTTGAAAATTTTGGATGGCGTAGAAGCCAAATTGCTTTCTTTTCAGCTCATTAATATATATTTTCATTAATTTATAAAATCCCGATTTCATCGGGATCCGATTGCTAATCCCGATCCCGGTCCCGATCCCGGCTCGGGATCGGGATCGGCCAAAACCGGGATCGGGATTTGTCTTTCGGGTTCGGGATCAGAAAAATCGGGATCGGGATTCAAAAAAACCGGGATAATCCCGCACGATCCCGACCGGGATCCCGATCCCGGCCAACTCTAGTCAATAGATAAATAGCTAAGTATTTTTATTTTTACTGAGAATTGAAGGTTAGAAAATATTTTTATTTTTTTTCTGGAATTTATCAGAGGAGAAAATTTATTTTTAATATTTTTCTAACTAAAAAAAATGAATTTTATATAAAAAATAAAACTATAATTCACAAAATTAATCATAATTTTAACTCTGAATAACCTAAAAATTTGGAAATATTTTGTTGCTTCTTCTTTTGTTATAGAGAGAAGCGAAGATTTATATTTTTTTGTGCTCTCTTTACAAAAAAGACAAAAGATTAAAAGAAAACCAAAAATAAGGGAAGGGCAAAAATATTTAGTTAAAAAAACTAAAAATGGCCAAAAAAGAGTAGAAAAGTTAAATAAATATATTTTTGGTTGCAAACAAGAAAAATATATAAAAATAAATGTTTTTAACGCCGATAACTAAAAAAGGGAGACTAAAATAGAATTTTCTATTGTTTGAATTGAAAAATGAAAAAAGTATAAAAAAAGGCGAAAAAGTGAAAAGAACAAAAACTGGCAAATTTTGTGTAAAATTGGAAAGGGATTTAAAAAAATATTGGTGAATTATGTATGTAGAAGTTTAATATAAAATGAATTTATTGAATAAAATACTCTAGTTATTGTTAACTAAATTTATGTCGAAATTTATATGTTGAGAAAACATTCCAAGATTGGAGGTCGGGAATGACAACTGCCTTAATTGCCCGCGGGTTCTGCGCAAGAATTTGTGTACAGAACGCAGAATTTGTTTTAATTATTCCACAGATCTTTGTGTAAATAAAGGAGATCACCACCCAATGCACTTGAATGTAATGAAAGGAAGGAAAGAAGACTCTACACAAAAAGAGGGATTTGCTTGATTTCCATTGTGCTCCCTCTCCTTTACCTTTAGTTTAGTAAAATATTAGTAGAATTACTATAAAATTTAATTCATAATCTTCTACAAAATATATTTGTCGTAAATATGTAATTTTTAAAATAAACTTTTAATTAATTAATTAAATATATAAAATATAAAATAATATAAAAAATAAATAAAAATATTTTTTGTTTTCCCTAAAAGAATTATTTAACGCTAAAGTATTAAAATTATATTTTTCAAAATTTATTTGCATTAAAGGGCCTTTCCAATTTTCAATTTCAGTATATTTTGTTGTCCAAATTCTTTCAATTCCAGAATAGCAATATTTACGTTTCTTTTAAATTAATTTAAAATAATTAATTTATTAAAATATAATCAAACTTCACAAATACATTCTTGAATGTCTACTTGATCATGCAATCTAAACAAATTAATAATTTAATATTTTTTAATGAGATGTTTTCATAATTATTTTCTTTAACTATGTATTAATCTTTAATTAATTTATGGGCAAAATATAAACAAATAAATTTTTATTACTGCAAAACCCCTTAAGCTACACAACCTTAAAAATTTATTTAAAATAATGATATTGATAATTGCTAATTATTATTATATATTAGTATATTTTGGATATTGAATTGATGGATTTTAAATGTAATAAAAATATACCTTTGGCAACTATTATCTTTTCTTTTGGCCAAAACTTCGGGGTCAACAGCTCCAAAACGTTCAGCACACCCGCGGAGAATAAACGAATTCCCAGCATTATGATCAGTCAAAACTAATGTTTGGCAATGGCTATAGCCTGGACATGTCTGTCTCGGCAATAAATCTAAATTTTTTGGATTTGTACATTCTTTAGTTATTGCTTCAGATGAAGGGAATTGTGCACGTCTGACAGAGAGTAAATTCTTTACCTTTAATTATAAAGAGAATATTTTCAGAAAAATATATTCTACAATCTTGTGTATATGTCGGCGGTAAATTTCAATTTTAGGAAAATTTCAATTTTTCCGGAAAATTTCAAATTTTCCGGAAAAATTCAATTTTTCCGACGATTTAGGAAAATTTCAGTTATTAAATTAATTTAATAGTCTGTTTAGCACTATTTCGCTTATTTTCGGTTTTTGAGTATGTTTTTCTTTTTTGTTTTTTTTTGTTTTATGTTTTGTTTTTTTGGTTTGTTTGTCTTTTTTAATATTTTTGTTTATTTTTTTAAATTTTGTTTTTTAGTTCTTGTTTTTTTTAAATTTTTGTGCTATTACTGAATGGGTAGGTCGGCATTTCAATGCTGAAAATCGACAAAAGGAGTAGGATTATGATACTATTGTAGAACCCAGCGACCGTTGACTCCCGCGAGACGCGTGCCGCAAAACCCCGCGCGAAGCGCGGGGTTTTGCACAAGCGTCTCGCCGACTCCCCATAGGTTTATGTTGTTTGTTTTTCGTGTCGTAACTTTATCCAAACTTATACATGGTAATCTTGTCTAAATAAAAAAAATTATAAATAACCCAAAAAATACAAAAACAATCATAAAAAACACAAACAACACCAAAAAACATAAAACTAGCCCAGACTCAACTGACAACTTTATTAATAACTGAAATTTTCCTAAATCGTCGGAAAAATTGAATTTTTCCGGAAAATTTGAAATTTTCCGGAAAAATTGAAATTTTCCTAAAATTGAAATTTTCCGCCGACATATATATGTAAAAAAGAATTAATATACTATATAATTTTGTACAGTCCCCTTCAGCTAAATGGCACCCTCTAATATTTAGAATGACACTTTGATGGTGATTGAAAAATACTGTGACCAGCCATTCAATCAGGGATTTTACGGTAATTTTTACCTTTTAAGGAGTTTTTTCCTTAATTAAGGAAAAGTTTATCAGTAAATAGGTATGTATTATTATATGCAATAATTTGGTATTACATGTCTGTTATTACCTAATATTCAAAATAGGGGAAAAATTGGATTAATAATATTTATAGAGGAGGAGGTGGTGGAAGGTTGTTTAATAATTAAATTTAAATAAACTAACAACTCTTTGCATTTTTTCAGATAAAATATTTAAAGGAGAAGCACAATAAAAACACCAATTAATTTGTTGAGAATCTTTTGATGTAAATCTTTCTTGATAACTTTCATTGACTGTAGAAAATTTTTGTTTCTCTTCAATAAATAAATTTTGTTGTTTTTGAAAATATTCTTTAATTAAAATAAAAGAAAAATATTCTTTTAAATTAAAAATAAAAACCATTTTGAGAAAATAAATTTTGAGGAATATCTTGATTGATAATTAAATTTGGTGGTAATTTTTGGCCTGTTTGAAATTCAAAAATTCTTTTTTCATCTTCTTTTATCTAAAAAATAATATTTTAAAATAATGACAGAAGACTTTTAAGAAATAAATATATTGGGAAAAACCGGACTAAATATTCAGAAATTATCATGAAAACAAAACCACGTCATTGACGCTATGTTCTCCCTCTTGAAGTTTTTTTAGATATTTAGAATGGTTAATTTTTTAACTTTTTCGTTTTATTACTACATATTCAGTGGCTGAATAATTACTGCCTTTTTATCAGAAAAATTAATTTTTCTTTGGATTCCAAATTTTCGGGAATTATATGAAAACTATGAGTTTTTATATAAATTTTGGATAGTTATGAGCCGGTTCCTGGAAATTCTTCGAATATCCGAAACCGAACCGAAGAACCGAACCGAAAAATCCTCGGTTCTTCCGTTCGGGTCGGTCCAGAACCGATAACCCAACTATGATGGATCTTTCGAAATTTTTGATAATAAAACTATAAAATATGTATAATATAAAAAACTTTTCTTCAATTATTTTCCCTTACTTGAGCAATTCTTTTTGCTTCATCTTGTTCACTCCAATTATAAACAGAGTTAATTAATGAATAAAATATAAATATTAAATAGTTATTTTTAAATAATAATTTTAAATTAATTAGACTAAACATTAAAAAATAATTTTTATTTTTTCTTTTAAATAAGAAGGTAAATTGAAAAAAAAAGTTATTTTAACATTTTAATATGTTCAATAAATAAATAAATATATTAAATAAATAGAGCATTAATTTAAGTAGATAGAATTGACAGTGCGAAGGAATTACAATTAGAGTGCGCAATAAAAATAAAATATATCGCGTCACTACCGTCGCAACAACCAAAACTAATGCGCGCAACAATCGATCCCTGGAACAAATAATTTTTTTATTTAAAGAGAATAAATACATATATACATTTGTATCTCACCTTTTATACCCTCGAGGATAAAAAAATTGTACCTTATCTTGAGATGTACTTACAAGTTATCCTGCCATCTTGATTCCAGAAAGTTTATTAAATATCGGGAATTTTCGGTATCCCCCAAAAATAATTAGTTTTCATCAATTTATTTGTTGAAAAGGTTAATTTATGTATTGATAACAGGGTGGCCCTTTTACCCTATTTATAGAGGATTTTCCCTATTTTTGACCTTTTCGCCCTATTTTTTCCCTATTTTCTCATTTGCCATATTTTTGCCCTATTTTTACAATCTTGTGAAATTTTGATAATTCTTCGGATTTTGTTTAAAAAATGGTAAAAATGAAGGATTTCTGACTTCCTGCCCTTACAAAATCCTCAAAATTTTTGCCTGCGGCGCAAAAAATGGAAGAAATTTGGCTTCCTGGCCTCCCAAAATTCTCAAAATTTTCGCCTTATTTGAAAACTAATTATGTTTAAGTTTTTAAAACTACGCCCTAATTTTTGCCCTATTTTTGCCCGATTTCGCCCTATTTTTGCCCTATTTTTGAGTGGCTGCGCCCTATTTTACTGTTTTGGAAGGGGCCACCCTGATTGATAAACTTTTTAAAATCGAAAAATTCTCGTATACGGCACTAATAGGCTGAGTTTTCTTAGTATGTATTTCTTAAAAATTTCAAAATTGTGAAATGAAACTTTGTCATCTTTAAAATTATAAAAAAGTTTCTAGTCTATTGCTTTTTTAGGCTTATAAAAATTCTATTTAAAACTTAATAATTTTTATATCTTTTTTTATTTCAAAATTTAAATTATTTATTATATTCATGTGATTTTTATTAGATAAAATCAATTCTTTCTTTTTAAATTTGATAAATCCAACCAATTAAAAAAGGGCAAACATATGATTTTTAATTAGCCCCCCCCTTCCCCCCCCTTCCCCCCCCTTCTTTAAAAAAATTATTTTGAAATATTTTTTTAAATTATTACATTATGGGGGCTTCATAATTAAAAAAACAATTTTCATAAACAAACATAGACGAAGCTCTATCAAATAAAGTTTTCTAAGCTGTAAAAGATTAGTAAATGTTAGAGAAGTGTAAGAAAACCCGACAAAAGATGCCTGTGGTTTCAGTTTTAATTTACTTGTTGTCTACCTAATTTATTCTAAAGCTTCTTTTGTTATTTTTGTTTAAAAAATAACTAAATTAATTACTAAATAATATTTTTAGGAAATGTTTATTCTAAATATTTTATTTATTTTAATTAATTTATTTTTATTAATCCAAACATCCAAAATTACTATAATTGTTAAAAATGATTGGAGCGAAACTAGAGCTTTTCAATTTATTAAACAAAGCTCTTCCCCACATTTTGAAATAATATATAAGGAAAATAAAAAACAAACAAAAAATATTAATTATTTAATTAATTCAAATAATGAAGATGAATTTATTTTGGAATTTCCTGATAATTTAATTTTAAATAATATTTTATATAAAATTAAATTACCAAAAAATCCTATTGAGAATAAAGTACCTGAATTAAAAAGACAGGTTAAGGAATATTTTAGAAGAATTATTGTCATATCAGAAAGTAGCTATAATTAGTTTGAGGCCTGTGATGTTTCCTCCTAACCTTTACTTGATAAATTATAATTAAAATTAACTACTCTGTGGTGGGATAGTTAAGCGACTAAAACATTTGATTTGGAAGGCTCTCAGGGCCAACCCTTCTTTTTTCCGGAATTATGACCGTATTCGCACATCTATAATTTCTTAAAAGTATGAATATTGTATGTGGTTTAATGCTTCTTTCATTAAACCAAACTAGAGTTTAAACAAATTTTTTTATCCAAGTTTTTTTAAATAAAATAAAATACTTTTCAGATAATTGAAAGAAATTATGAGAATTTTGATTTAAATTATTTATTAGACTTCAAATTGTCAATATTAGAAAATAAATCATTAATTAAAATAAATAAACAAACAAAAGAATTTAAAGAAAAATTTGGAATTGAAAAACAAAAAATTAAAAATTTAGAAAAATCTTATAAACGTTTACTGAATGAAAATAATTGGAAAGAAATTAATTTGTTATCTTATAAAATTAATTTATTTGAAAAAATTGGGAAAATAAATGAAATTGAAGGGGATTTGATAAATAAAATAAAAGAAATTAATCGGAAATTAAGTGGAGGTTTTGAATTTAAAATAAAAAAATTGATTAATAATGAATTAATAATTATTTAAATATAAATATTTTAAGAACAACAACAAACAGAAAATAACCTTGCAATAGTTCCTTACCAACAAAAAGAATTAGTTCCTACAGGGATTCATGGTAAAGTTTTAAATTATTTTTGGATAAATTAAAATATTTTTTAAATTTTTTTCTGTTCCGAAAAGAAGTGGATAGACTTTGATAATACAGAAATTTTAATGAGTTAGCCACTTCTAATACACATACTTATCAAAAGTTTACCAAAACTGGCATATTCAGTAACACCCCTATCTTTGGTTTATCCGCGGAGAATATTCTATTTTCGAATTAGAGGTTCATCTAATTGGAATTTCCTAAAGGTTGAAGTAATCCACATAATTATTTAATTTATCTAGTCGAGACAAATTATTTGATTTAATTCAGTAACTATTTATTTTTTAATTTAAAATAATTATTTAGTGGCTCCAATACAAAGTTTAACACCTAAATCAAGTTTAAAATTAATAAAAGGAAAAAATATAAAGCCTGAAGATCCAGTTAAGTTAATTAATTAAATAATTTTATTTGATTTAAATTATAATTATTTTTAAAGAATTTATTTAATTTACCTAAAAAAGTTACTAAATTAAATATTTATTTTTTTTCTTTTAAGATAAAAAATTTAAAAAATCGTTTAAATAAGCTTTGTAATGGAGAAGAAATTTATCATAAAAAGAAACAAAAATGGGATAAAAAAGAAAAATTCGATAAAATTGAAAAGATTTTGAATGTTGCTGAGGATGCTGATGGAGATATTTGTTTTTTGGTTATTTTAATTAATTAAATATATTTAAATATATATTTTAGGTAAAATGGGAAAATCATGGTCCTAGTGAAAGTAAATAATTTTTTAAAAATATATATCTAATTAATTAATTAATTAATTAATTAACAATCAACCTAAAATTTTTCCTTTTTTTCTTACCTTCTACATATTCCTTTTAATTAGAAATAGTCGAGTTTTTATAGTTTTTTTAAATAGTTTTTCATGAACAATCTTTTTAAATTAACCTTAAAAATTTAAATCTATTCCCTATTATTCTAATTTATGTGTATAGAGAAATACGTTTTACAGATTTTACCAACTTTGTCTTGAAATTATTTGTTAATTCAAATGATATAAACTCTTCTCATAACAAAATTTTTAATAACAGAATATAAATAAAGATTGGAGCCTATAAAGTAATAAATACCTTTAATTTTATAGATAGTTGGCTTGCCTATGAGGAAATCGGACATTATCCAATAACAAGAGAATATATAAAAGAAATAATTGCTAATGGTATAATTATTAAAAACTTTAAATAAATTATGCAGTCTGGGAATTCTTTTAGAGCTGCGATTCTGCTTTGTCTTGAAATAATTTCTGGTTACTTTGAGTAAAGTTGTTCGAATCTAATCCGTCCCGCACTTTCGATATTTACAGAAATGTCTGGAGGATTTTTAGTTAGTAAAAGTATGACTGAGAAAATATCTCAAAGACTGACGGGCGATAATTGTTAATTAATATATATCCGAATAATTCTTTTTAAAGATAATAATAAAATACATGAATGCTTTTGTAAGTATTGTGGAGAACGTAAAGGGATTGAATCTAATTCAATTCAATGTATAGAATGTAATTTTTGGGTTCATGGAGAATGTGCAGGTTATAAAAAAGGTGACATAAGAAAAATGGAAAAAAGTGAATTTAAATGTAAATATTGTGTTAAAGAAGAGGAAGAGGAAAAGAAAAAATTAGCTTTAATTGGGATATAAGCATTATATAAAGTTTTTGTAAACGTAAAATTTTTAAACTACTAGAAACAGGAACCGTTTACCGAACGCATTTCCAAACTTTCGATGAAACCGAACTGTGGATATTCAATTTTTACCGGGAGTTGAGTAGTTTAAAATATAAAACACATAATATTTTTAAATTATTTTTATATCTTTAAGTTAAGGGGATGGATTGTAAACAGATAAATTTTAAGATTTGTAATTTTTATATAACATTTATATAACATTTTGATAATTTAGAAAATAAAAATTAAAAAAACATAATTGCTTTCCTAAGTATTTTGGAATATTTGATAATACCGTATTTCTTCTAATCTTGCGACTCTCTCTATTGACGACCCCTTTTAATAAACTGACCCCCTAGAGGATGGTTAAAAAATAAACCGACCGGTCGCCCTATTAGAAGAAATTAGAAGAAATACTAATAGTATTTAATTATTAACCAATTATTAATTAATTATTAACCAGCATATTTTATAATCTATTTTTCAATTTTTCGGGACTAAAAAACGACATTCTATTCATTTAATGTTTATTTAATGTCTAATATTTTTTATATAAAATTTTAATTATTAGTATACATATATTACATAAATTCCATCCAAAAATCATTTTATTTTTTCGTAGCGAACTAATGAAAATATTTAAAGATAGGCTGAATGACTGTCGTTGCCATTAGCAACCATTTGCTGACCAAACTGCTGACCAAATAATATTTTTCTATTTTTAATTTAGCTTTTCTAGCCGAATAATTATTAAATATCTATATAGTTTTAATTAATATTTTAAAATAAAAATAGGAGAAAAATAAAGGCTAAAGATTACATTTTTAAATAAAAACTTTATTTTGTTATTTTTTATTTAAAAAATGCCTTGTATTCTCATTAAAATAAATTAAAAATAAATTCAAGCATATCCGACTTGATGAATAATAATTTAAATTATGCTGCATATAATTATCCAAATTTAATGATTACAGGTTTAGTTTAAATATATTTAAAATTTTAAAATATTTTTATAAAAAAGGAAAAAGTATTCCTCCTCAACAAAAATCTGTGCCTTCCTCTACAAATATTGCTTTTGGTAGAGGAATAACAACAATTACACGTAGAAAACAACAACAACAATTAAATGAAAAACAAAATTATTTAAATAAAAATAACAAAACAATAATTCGAAGAAGTGGAAGTGCTGGACAATTAGCTGATAATAATCGAAGAGAGTCAACAATTTCAACTTCTGCCGTTTCAGTTTTTAATACTTCAACTCAAAATAGTAGAAGAGTTGTTTGTAATTGTAGAAATGGAAATTGTAAATGTGTGCCAAGTATGGCTTTTTTAGAGGGGGTTTATGTACAAAATTTGCAAACACAAATTGAGGTGCTCGAATTGGAAAATGCTTATTTGTAAGTTTATTTATTAAATTATTCAAGAAAATATATTGGAAGGATGGGAAGATCCAATTGGGAGCTTTTAAAATGCTTGAGGGTGGTTTTAGAATCCATATGAGAGAAAGTGAAATCATAACCCCGATAGCTTTGTCGGTAAAGCATCTTAACGAGAGGGAGCGAAAAGGTCGCACCTACGATTCCTGGTATTGGTTAAATTTTATAAATAATTCGCAATAAAAATATTTAATTTTTAAAAGTTCCAAGGATTCCGAAAAATAATTAAATTCGCTCAAAATTTAAGTTAAAAATATCTCAAAAAATTAATTTTAATTTTAAAGACGAGGTGCTACAGACAGAGGTGCTTTATTTGCAAAACAACCAACAACCGAAGACAATTATTATAATAATATTCAAAAACAAAGAAATTCTTCCAATTTATTTAATAATCACGAAAAAATGAAAATAAATAAAAAAGACGAATTTGAAGATAAAAAAGAAGAAATATTATTAAATAATTTATTATTAAAAAAAGAAAAAAGAGTTGGATTTTTTAATGGAGAAAATGAAAAAAGAAAAGAAATAATTAAAGATTGGGAAGAAAGTTTTGATTATAGTGGAGGGGATGATTCTGATAATAATAATTGGAAGAGAAGAAATGAAGAAAGAAAAATTAAAGAGGAGGAGGAAGAAGAAAAAAGATTTTTGTTATTAGAAAGAAGAAAAGAGAAGAAAGAATTTGAAGAAAGGGAAGAACTTGTTAAACAAGAAATTAGAATAAAAGAAGCCGAAATTTTGAGGATTAAAGGGGAAAAACAAGAATTGGAGAGAAAGCTTAGATTGGCAGAAGGTTTTCCCCTTAAATTTTGATTAATTTGATAGCTGAATCCCAGTAGGTAGACGTCGCTTTTTAATTGAACACTCAGAAGCCAAACTATAATTTATCTTCCAAAATAATTTTTGAAGAGTGAATCTCTATAATAACAGAATCCCTTAGTGTCTAAGATCCTGCCGACAAAAAACTCCCATTTCTTCAGGAACCCCCACCTCCCAGATTTGTGAGAACAACACAAAAATCGGAACTTTGTGAATTGTCAGAGGATACCTGCTTAGTGTTTGGGGTTAATTAAAACAAGGTTAATAGCCGTTTTGAATAATGGGATAGTGTTTGAATAAATAAAAGAATTAAATTTATTAGGAAAAATGAGTGATGAAAGGCGATCTTTGCATACAGAAAATGTAGAATTACAACGTCGACTAGAAGGATTAACCCCTTTACTTGCTGAAAAAGAAACAAAATTAATTAAATTAGAACAAGAAATTGAAATATTAAATAATAAATTAAAACAACAAATTAAAGAAAATGAAAATTTAAAAATAAATTTAGAAGAAAAATTAAAAGAAAATTTAAAACAAAAAAGTGAAGGGGAAAGAATTGAACAACGTTTTAAATTAAATATAGAAACTTTAAATAATGAATTGGAGGAAAGTAAAATAAGAGAAGCTGACTTGGAGGTGAAAATTTAAAAAATATTTTTTTTAATTAAGGGGATTTTTTTGAAAAATGTTTTCTCGAAAATTATTACGATTTTGAAAATCTCCGTAAATAATTTTTAAAATTTTATTCAAAAAATAATTTAAGAGAGAATTGAGCGAAACAAAAATAAAATCAGAACAAAGAGAAGCTAGTTATCGTCGAGAAGAACATGAACGTTATCAAAGAGTAATTGATGAACTTAATGAACAATTACAACAAATAAATGAACGTTTTGAAAGGTCGGAACGTGAAAGGAATGAATCAGAAATAAAAATTGATGAAGTAACTTAAAAGATTATTTACCTATTTAAAAATATTAATCATGAATCAAAATTCTCTGAACAGACTTGGAAACCTGGGAATCACTGTCTTGTAACTTGAAAAATTTACGGGAATATTAGGATATTTTTGAAAATTTTCAACGAACAATGACGGTATTTTTTGTGTGTCCAAATTAATCAACAATTCAACTTTTCTAAAAAACCAAAATAATTAATAAGAGTTAACATTTTAAAACATTTTAGTTGAGGCAAAAGAATGACATTCTCGAAATGGAATTAGAATTAGCACATGATAAAATGTCCCAACAACAAGAAACATCAAGAACTTTGGAAGAAAAGGTATTTTTTTAAATAAATTAATTTAAATAATTAATTTTTATTAAAAAAGCAAAGAGAATTACATTTACAAGAAAAAGAGCACCGTTCAGCACAAGTTAGAGCCCAAAGAGAATTAGAAGCATTACAAAGTCTTTCCCAATCACTTGCAAATGAAAATAAAGGATTAAGAGAAGAAAGGGCCGAGTTGGAAGAAAGAATTGGGGAATTAACTGAAATGGTTTTTAATTTTAAATAAATTTAAAATTAAATATTTTAAAGTTAAATATTCGAGAAAATAGAGTTAAAAGAGCTGCAGAATTAATTAATGAATTTCTTGAAAGATATAGACTAACTAGTGGTAGACTTAAACAACAAATAGGTCGGCAAGCAGAAGAGTAAGTTTTTGAAAATTATTTTAAATAATATTTTATTTATTTTAAAATTTTATATAATTCAGAAAATAGAGTTAATAAGTAAATATAATTTTTAAACTTTCGTAAAATAAAATTAATTAGATTCTAAACAGTAAATGATTTTTAAAAGCTAATTGTAATGCTTATTAAAGCAATTAAGCAAAAAATATTAAGCAATTATCGAGAAAAAAAGATTCGTAAAATAAAACAGAAAATAGGGCAGTTTTATAATTTTTAGAAAAAGTTTTTGTGAGGTTTAAAAAAATATGAATAATACCCCCTTTATGGGAGAAGTTTATTACATAACAATTTTATTTTTTAAATCAAAATTTAATTTAAAAATTTTCAAAGCTGTGAGGAATTTGACCGTTTAATTCAAAAACTTCGTCAAATGGTTAATATAGTCTCTAATAACCCAGAATCACCAACAATAATTACTAACAGAGACGGAAGTTTAATAACTAATTTACGTCCATCAACAACAGCTAGTTCATCGACTAATTCTCCTTCATTATTATCTACAAGTAAAACAACAAAACAAAGAAATTTAAATAAAAATATTGGGGGAGGAATTAAAACAAATATTAATATTAATAGAAGAACAAAAACTGATTAAAATTGAATTTTAATTATTTTAATTGTTTGTGTATTTTTTTATTAAAAAGAAAAATATTTTATTTAAGGCTTTATTACTAACATGATTTAAGTTAAAATTTATAGGCTTTTCTACAATAAAACGGGAAAATTTAAGGAAAACATTTTCTTTTTTTTCTGATAAAATTTAATTAAAAACCTTAAAATATTTTATATAAAATTTCATATTAATAATTGCAAAAAGTAAATATTAAATTTTTAAAATATCACACAATTTTTATTTAATTAATGTCCCCACAACTCTCCTCCAAAATTTATTCTTCTTCAATACTAAATTTGTTGTTTTTATTTTTTATTCCAATATTATTATGTGAATTTTCCAAAATTTGTTCAAAATCACCTTCATTGCATAATTGTTTATTACAAATACACAAAAGTGTTGATGACTTTAAAAATTTATTAAATTAAAATTTTATTAAAAATAAAATATTTTTCCAAATATTTTCTTCTTTTTATCCACACTTTTACTTATAAAATTATTTTTAATTAAATTTTTACATGACTCTGAGGAGGTGAAGGACTTCCATCTCTAATAATAATGTCATTATTATGATTACTTCTTTTCCTCCTTTCCAAAATTTCAGATTTATCATCATTAAATATTATTCTTTTTGGCAAATTTAATTTAGATTGTTTTAGGTGATTTTTGAAGGGAAGTTGATTTTTTGAAAAAGAATTTAAAGGAGCAGGATTGGGAGGAGATTGGTGATCAATTTGAGAAAGTAACTTAAATAAAGGGTAAATAATTATAATTTTATTTAATTATTTAGCTAACCCATTGTTCAACACTCTGACATACTCCAACATTCTTTCCTTCATTCAATTGATATTTTTCCAACCCAATTCCCAACCCTGGACTTGTACAAAATTTACGCATATGTGGACGCCCAGGGGTTCCTCGTTTAGAGAAGTAAAGGAGAGTTGAACAACTTTGTGTTCCAGGCGGTCCTGCTGGGCATTCTTCTATCTTTTTTAGTAAAATTTATTTATATAAACTAGAATTATCGGTTCTTGAAAAATTTCGGCTATCAGGAACCGAAATGAAGAAGCTATATGACTATTAGGTTCAACTCTCAATACAAAATTTTATCAATAATTGTTACCTCGAGATTATAACTAACGAGTTATTTAAATAAACAGCATAAGTGGAAAAATAAAAAATTAAAAACTAGATAGATATTGGGATTAAAACAAATTATTTAAAAATATTAATTAAAACAATCCAAAGGGGCAATTTAATGGTAGCTTTCAACCATTTATTTTTTTCGAATTCTACCTTCTCTATACAAGGTTCTGTGTCATCATTATCTGAATTAGTATTACATACAAAACATTCAAAACCGGCTGTGAAAAAAGAAAATAAAAAATCAGGTGAAGGAAATAAAATAATTAAAAAATATATTAAATGTTTATTATTCATTTTTTTAAGAAAAGGGAGGAATGGATAAATATTTATAACAACAACAAGAGTTTATATGGATGATCAAGAAAAAATGAAGGGATTTTTGGGAATATATGGAGCGCGGAAAAGAGTCGATTAAATAAAGTAGTACTGGAAGAAAAGTTCTTTTGATGTATGGGGAGATGAAAAGAATTAGGAAAAAAAGCAAAAAAAAAAAGATTTTAGTTAGTGGTTGTCCTAAATGTGGGTAATTTAATGTTTTATTTTTTCAGTTATTCCTTTTAATTTATAATTTTAACTAGAAAAAATATTTGAAAACGGGCGTTAATAGTCGGAAATTGGAAGTGTTAAAAACCAGAAACTACCCCCGTTCGGAAGTTGGAAATTAGCACATTTTGAATGCGATCTCGTAATTCACAGTAACAATACTATGTAGATTTAAGTAATTTTAAATTATATCACCCCCTAGTATTTAATGGAATTATGGGTCAAAATTAGCTATCGGTAAACTTTTTGGTTTAACAAACTCCTTATCAAAAACTAAAAGGGCAGTCGGTGATTAGAGTTGGGGGGTTTTACCTTAGCACATATTTACTTAAACAACACATGCAGAAAGGAAAATATTTTCCTTCTTATTTATATGTATAAATAGATATATTTAAACTGATCAATAAATTGTTGATCTTTAATTTTTTATAAAATTTAAAATACTCCCAACAAAAATTATTTTATCAAATTTTAGATTTAATGAATTTGGAAAAAAATGAGAATCGAAATTCTAGTGATAATACAGCTGAAATTAATCAAATAATAAATAATATTCAATCTTTGAATCAACTAGGTTTTATTATTTTTAAATTAAATTAAAAATATTTTAATTAAATAATTATTTTCAAAAATAGCTCAGCAATTAAATCAATGTGTAGAAAAAATAGGAGGGCCTTGTAATGATGAAAAAAATCAAAATTCTTTTTCACAAATTTTAATTAAAAGTAATGAATTGTCTCATAATATCAATCAAATGTTTCAAAAACTTGGTGAAAATAATTATTGTGTATGTTGAAATTTAATTAATTTTTTTGAAAAAAATAATGAGGTTAAATTTAGGAAATTTAAAATTTTAATTTCTGTTAAAATTAATTTAATTTTCAAATGTTAATGAGGAAAATGAAATTTTTTAAAGAGTTTTCATAGTTTCCCAAGAGTTTATTTTTCTTAAAAAGTTTATTTAATTTCCAGTATTTTTATCAAAAATTAAAATTATTTACAAATTTTTAAATTTATCAAATAAAAGTTTAAAAATATTTTTTTAATTTAAAGAATCGTCAACAAAAACTACAAACGGATAGATTAATGGATCATTTTGTAGGTGTCTTAAATCAATTACAAGCAGCAAAAAGGAAGGCTGCTACTTACGAAAAATCAAAAATTCAAGATGTTTCTGATCAACAAATTAATGAAGAAATAATGGATTTTAAATTAAAACAAACCCAACAACAACAACAACAAAATTTAGAAGAAATTAAAGAAAGACAACAAGTTACTATTTATTTTTAAAAATAAAATAAATTAAAATGGATATTTAATTTAATATTTTTTTGAAATTATCCTAATTAACAAACCGTAGAAACTGTATTAACTGCCCTAAGTAATTATTGTTTCGATCTCTCGCTGGAGGGGTTAATAAATATAGGCGGAGTAATTAATAGAGGTTATTTTAGGCTAACTATAACTATATTTAAAAGAGTAATTATTGTTTCAACCTTTCGCTGGAGGGGGTGACTAATACAGGCGTGGTAATTATTTGAGGGAGGGATATTAATACAGTTTTTATGGTGTCAAAATTAATTTTTAACAAAAATTCTTTTTGTTTTAAAATAATTTTTATTTTGTAGACATTATCTTCATTAGAAAAAGATATTGGGGATATTAACCAAATATTAACTGACTTATCTGTAATGGTTTATACTCAAAATGAAGTTGTTGAAACAATTGAAGTTAAATATTTTTTAATTAAAAATAATTATTTTTTTTAAATTTAAAGTCAAATATAGAAGTTGCAGCTGTTGAAATGCATCAAGGAAATTTACAAATTGCTCAAGCAAGTGAATATCAAATAAAATCGAGAAAAAAGAAATTAATTTTGAGTATTTTTTGTTTTTTAGTTTTGTGTATATTCTTAATTATTTTTTGGATATTAATTAAAAAATAAAAAATTATTTTTATATTTTAAATAAAAAAGTATTTTTGAAATAATAAAGTATTTTTTTATTGAGAAGGAAAGATCCGGAAAACAGGAAAAATAGGCTAAATAAAAATATTCAATTTCCGGAGTACCGGGATAGGAAACCAAAACCCTGGTTAGAATAAGGTGTCGGAAATCAGAATTACAACCCACCTCTGGTCCGAATTTACAAATTGCTCAAGCTATTTCCTATTTGCACCATTTCCCTCTAATTTCTCCTTCACTTTATTTCATTTTTATTGACAATTAATTTTTTAATTAAAACAAGCGAGGGAGACAAAAACATTTTAGTTGAAATAAAATACATATTTTAAAATTAAAATCATTTTATCGTTGATCACCCCAAGGTTTTGCTTCGTCTCTATTTCTAAAAGATTGGAAAATTAAAAAAAATTTTTTAATAAAAAAACTTTATTTGTTGTTGACATTTTAATTTAATTTCGAATATTTGCACAAGATTTTGCCACATTTGTGTTTGTTCAACTAAATCTTTACGATCATTTAAGTTATTAAATTCTTTAGTTAACGAAGAAATCTGTTGATTACATTCTTCTTTTTGTTTCTAAATTTTTTTTAAATTTATAAATTAATTTCTAGATTGCCCAAAGGGATATTACCTATGTAAAATATAGAAAGAAAAAAATTATTCGAGAAATTTTGTGTGCCTTCCATAAATATTAATAGCCAAAGAGGCGTTTAATATTAGAAAATTTTTTGATACGATTGAACATAGGAAGTATGAGAAACACCAGAAAATTGCTTGCTCTTATATTTTCTTAACGGACTTTAGTCATAAAAAAATTTGTTTGGAAAATTAAGAAATACCTCCAAAGTGTGATAAGCACGTTCAACCTTTAAATTAAAAAAATATTTTACATAATTAAACGTTCCTTTCCACCTGTTCAGAATTTCCACTATTTTCACTTAACCATTTTTGTTTTTGTAAATTATTATTTGTATTTTCTAATTCTGATTGCATTTCTTTTATTTTTTGTTCTAAATTAATTGTTTCCTTAAATTTTAATTTTCTTTTTAAAATTATTGTCTAAAGTACCGTTTCATTTAATTCCGTTTCTCGTTTAAATTCTTCTTGATAATTATCAAGTTCTGCTTTTAATGTATAAAATCCCTCATTTTTCTCCTAAATATTTAATTTAATTTTCAATTAAAACTCTTCCATTTAAACACCTTATTTTCCAAATAAAATCTGTCAATTTCCCCATTTAAATTATCTACTTTATTCCTTTGTTCTTCTATTTGTTCATTTATTTGTTTAACCATTTCTTTTAAACGTTCAATGTCTACAGATTTTGGTTTGGCTGTTTTAGGTCTTTGATGTACATTTTGTATTGTATCCTCATCTAGTTTTTCAATAACTCCCCGACCTTCAGCTTTCTTTAAAATAAAATTAATTTTATTTTATTTTATAATTATAAGTATTTCTTCCTCACATTATTTTCTTTAATTTGCTCAAATTGTTCTTCTAATAATTCTAATGTTCTAAAATAGATAATTATTTATTAAAATAAAATAGACAGATCCAGAAACAGCTATCCACAATTTTAGGAATATGTTATAATACGGGTGCCGTATTCCCTTTAATTTAATGACCGGGTATTTTTATCATTTTTATAAAGGGTCAACATAAAGGGTCAACAAGGGCCCCACCCCCTTTTTTATAAAGGGTCAACAAGTCCGCCTATATTTTATTAAGTTTTTAAATTTAAGTGTTTATTCCCTTTTAATTAATATTTAACCTTTCTAAAATTTGCTGTTCAGCTTTTAATTGTTCTGATTCTGCCTTCTTACGTTTATAAACATTTGATTTATTCCGAAGTTTGTTAAGTAATAATTTATATTGAACAGAAGTAACAACTTCTTCTTTACCACTTTTCTCACTTAATTCTCTCTTCTTTTCAGTTAACAATTTTTCAGTGTTTTCGAGTTCCTCTCTATTTTTAAAATTTAATTTTTAAAAAATATTTTTTAAAATATTTAATTAGTGTTTCGACTTTTAATTTTTATATTGTTTACGGATTTTTAAATTATTTTGCCTTGTCATCTGTAAAAGATCAGCCACATTAGCCTTCTTCCGCTGCACATTTACTGATTGATGCCGATAGATGGCAAGTTTGTCTTCCGATGCCTCGTCTCTACGGTCTCGTTGCAGAGCTAATTCCATACATTCACTGTTCAATTGTTCAATCTAATAAAATTAAGTGAATATAATTTTGAATGAAATTAATTAAATATTCACCCTTTCCTTCAATTTATCAACATCCGCTTTTGTCGCATTTGGCTGTGCCAAGATACGTTGGACAACTTCTAAATTTGTTTTTAACGTATTCAAGTCATGTTCGAGCTTTTCATCAATTAAATAACGATTAACTTCTATTTCTCTCTTTAATTTTAAATTTAAAAAATTAAGGGTTCATTTACTCGAAGTTTCTGAATAATAGTTTTTGGATCAGCTTCATCCCTTCGGTGCTCTTCCTCAGTAAGTACACGTCCTAATCTCGTCATTCGTTGTTCAGCTTGATTTACCTATTTAATTTAAAAATGCACGGGTATTTAAATAAAAGGGAGGAAGGAAATTTTTACTGCTCTTTCTTGATCCATTTTTTGCATTTTTAATTCCTGAGCACGTTCCATTTCCAAACGTAGACGTTCACATGTCTGGAACATAAATTTAAATTTTAAGCCTAATTAGATAAACTAGGACTTTAAGTAAGTTTCCCATATCGGGACGTCTGCTTGTACGCCTTTTACAACGTTCAATCTTCCGCTGGAGCTGTTCACGTTCTTCATTCATTGCCTTAAGGTCGTTACTATATAAAAATATAATATTATTTAACAATATTTGTAAAGTACATTACAAACCGCACATCCAATGCACGGAGGAAATCACCTCTAGCTTCCACATTCTGTGAATGTAGAACCTTGAAAACTTTAAAATTAATTTTCACATTATACATTAATAACTTTAAATTCTTCCATTTTTAATTCCATTTCTTGCATAAGACGGGTTACTTCGGGTGTTTGTTCCTCCAATGGAACTTCTACTCGTGTAAGATGTCGCCTACAAAGATTATTTTTTAATCCATTATGTTTAATGGAGATTTTCTAATTTTAAAAATTCCCTAACCCAATATAAATCCGCTCCTTCAGCTGATCCACATTTTCAAAAATCCATTTAAGGATTGGATAAATTGCTCTTTTGTTTCCTTCTAACAAATCTAATCTCCAGCGCTGTCTACAATAAATATATTAAAATTTTTTCTTAAATTATTAGAAATTTATTTACATCTCGTCAATATCTCGTGGAGGTGGATATTTTAAAATACGAAGTGTAGCCAGAATTCGCATAGCAGTCTCATCAGCACTTTCTGACCGAATGTCAATAAATTCTGAAATAGGTACAAGCCCCTCAATCCAACTAAGCACATCAGACAATGTTTGTAACAACTTCTCATTGCTCATAGAATCCAACTTGACCAGTGTCAAGTTACGATCAAAGGGAGGGGCATTGAGACCGTCAATTATAACACGAAGTATTTCAGTACTCATTTAAGAATTATTTTTAATGGTGTAACATCTTAAAAATATTTTGAGTCCAAATTTGCTTTAAAAACCCGTTTCCATGCCAACAAATTATGCTATTGTCGTAGTCCTATTTTTTATGATGATTTCTTCACTACATAATTAACATTTGAAATTCTTTATTTAGAGGGAATATATTAACTGTTTGCGGTACGGGAGATCCCGCCACGAAATCCCGAGTTTTAGATAAGAAGCGGGATTAACCTCACATGGGATCCCTCCAGTTCGCTATGCTGAAAAAATCGCGTTACGGCATACTGGAAATTCGGCCAATATTGAAGAGACGTGCCATTCGATCACCTTGGCGAGTCGAATGATAAATAGAATGACTTAGGATGTTTTTTTAAATAAGATTAAAAAGTTTTTTTTAAATATTTTTATCAAAAGTCAAATTAAAGCTCCAATTTTTCAAACGTAAAAAATAAATCAAATTACACAAAAAGGATGGACCGGGATCAAAAAAATTTTTTCAAATCAATAATTGTGTTCGTGTGTGCTTAATTTTGTAGGTTTTTAAAACATAAAAATTTTGCATAATTTGAGTCGTTTTAAAATTAAGTACAAAAAAAGGGAAGTTTAATGGGTAATGGGAAAAGCGGGGTAGTTTAATGGGAAAGTAGATGGTACTTTTTTAGACCCGAAATTGACCGAACATTTTGTTCTCAACCCGACCCATCCTTTCTATGTATATATTATATAAATAAATTTACATATATCAATTAATTCTCTTAATTACAGAAATTTGAGATCCAGACGCATATTCTACATTGGTTACAGAAAACTTCATTTTTGGATTGTATTTATTAGAGAGTTGATATTTTGAAATTTTTTCATTGTCTTCAACCTTGATTTTAATATTTTTTGCTCTCTCATTTTTAATATTCGATCCATCAAGAAAAATAAATTTAACTTCTTTGACAATTTTAGAAAGGTTCTGTGATGTTTCTATATGCTAAAATTAAATTATAATTAATTTTTAAATTATGAAAATCTAGATAAAGGTTCGAAAAGCTTAGTTCTAGGACACTACTGAATAAAATGAATTGGCCATTTTGAGCCCCAACAATTTTTTATAAACACATCAAAAAATTTTGCCCGACCCATAATCAACATGTAGCAGCCCTGAAACAAGAGGGGTAGGGGAACCGCTAGTTTATATCGAAAATAAAATCTACAAACCTCAATAATGAAAAAGTAAGATTTTGAATTAATATATTGAAGAGTAATTTTGGAAAATTTATCTTCCTTTACCAAAATTTGAAATAAAACGTCAATATCTTTTACAGCATCAAAATCAATGGCAAGATTATTAGCAATCAAATGGTTCAAAATGAAGTTCAACGAATAATCACCCAAAAAAGATATATTGATTAAATGTGAATGTATTTGTAAAGGTAGATTTGTTATATTTTCATCAAATAATAATTCAATCATTTGCGGATTAATTATAAGACGAGAAACTTCAAAAACTTCGAAAGCACAGTTAAAAAGTAATTCAAAGTAATAACGAGTAATTTTCATTTCCTCAATATTTGTTGGAATAATCGGCAATTGGAAGTAGTATTGCTCTAGAAATATGATTTTAATAATAAAAAAAAAGTTCTTTATGGTAACATTGAAATTTTTTCTGAACAGCTTATTTCCTTTGAAGTTTTGTTAACGGAAACCGACTATGTATGTAACTTTTAATTTATCTTGAGGGGAAACAGCTAGCCCAGTTCAATTACATAATATATTAATTGTAAGCTAACCTGTACCCCATTTGAATCTTTGTTCCAATTCAAAAATGACAGCAGAAAAATCATCAATCGATAAAAATAAAGGAATTTGTTTTTCTATTGCATCCTTCCACTAAAAATTGGATTATTTTAAAATAAAAACTTTCTTAAATTCTAACCTTTTCCTCAAGTTGTTCACTCAATTGAAATTCATAAAGTTGAGGTTCTAGTTTGAAGAATTTTTGCTTTTGTTCACAAGGCTTGTGTTCGTCCCATTTAAAGCAATGAAGGTTAAGCAGCGGCATACGTTCTTTAAAATGGTTTAATTGTCCTTCATTGATTGGATACTGAAAAATAATAAGATACTTTCGCATTCTCTTCTCATAAAGTCCGCATATGTTTATCAGGAAAGTGGTGCGAAAGTAAGTTATGCGAAAGTAACAATAATAATTATTGGAATCAATTTTTATAGACAACTTACAATTTCAAGCCCAAATAATTTCTTCTTTGCCAATACTTTCCCATGTTCATAAATAAAATTTTTGAAATAAACATTTGTTTGTTGAACAGATACTAATTGGGTGAAATCCAAATATTTTAAAACATCAAGTTGAATTTCAGGTATAAGGTTGAGTTTTGGAAGCATTTTATTTTTAACAACATCTGGCACTTCGTCTTCTTCAATTATATGTGATTTATGCCATTGACCTTCCTGAAAATTTCTATTTTTTGAATTAAAAATTAATTAACCTCTTTATAATATTTAACTCCTTCGTGCTCAATAATTTTGCGATCCTTGCCCATTTTTTAATTAAATACTAAAAATAAGTTAATTAAACATTTAAATCTATTTAATAAATAGAAAAAGATAATAGTGCCGGAAAAAAAGATAAATATACTACTAATCAAAAAAAAATCCTGCAAAAATTAAATAGTGTTTGTTTTGAAATATTTGTAAAATGGAGTTACCTAATAAAGGGGAAATCGGCGCGGGACAGGATCCCACGCGGGATTTTGCGGGATTCCGCATCCGCATCCAACACTTTTTTCGATTTGCGGGATTTTGCGAGATTTGTCCCGTTCCCGAAAAAATTAAAAAAAATCAATTTTGTTCAGCACGAATATTTGAGGTGGACGTTTCAGAGCCATATAGTCCGTGCCCAAGAAATTATCGTTCGTCACATTGCCAAATCTGTGGAATGATGACAATTTTATTTTTAATTTCTTAAATTTTTATTTAATACTAGGTAGTTTTTATCTTATTTGAACATTTTTGCTTCGATTTTTTTGTCAAAGAGAAAATGGGATCTGATGCTGGAGACTGGTTTTTTTCTATTTAAAATTTAAATTAACATTTTAAAATTATTTTTAAAGGTGTCTTATTGAGAGCGATCCCGGTGTTTTTACTGAATTAATCAATGGCATAGGCGTTCAAGGTGTTCAGATTGAAGAGCTTTATTCAATAGACGATGAGGAACATCTTGACAAATTAAAGTATTTTTTAAATTCCTTAAATCAACTGAAAGGATGGCCCATTAAAAGGCTATACAGGGTTTCCGTACTAGGCTCAAAATTGAACAATTTATATGTCATTCGAAAGAGCTCGTGAGCTTAGGCGAATGACACCGAAATCAACAAATTTGGTGTTGATTTTGACCCCCTATGGTTTTCGACCATTTTGAGCCCTATATCTAGGCTCATTGTTGTTTCCGCGGGCTAATTTTGGTGCCATTCGACTCAGCTCGTTAAGCTCTATTGATAGACATAAAGTGTACAATTTTGGGCCTAGTAAGGAGACTATAGTCCGGCCCATTAAAAATCATCTATTTAATAATTATAGGCCAATTTATGGTCTAATCTTTCTTTTCAAATGGCGACAAGGTGAAGAAGTAGAGGGTACTCTTCAACCTGATGCTCCCGTTTATTTTGCCAAACAGGTTTTTTTGAGTTTTTTGTTGTTTTTTTTGAGTTTTTTGTTTTTTTTTAAGTTTTTTGTTGTTTAGGGGTTTTAAAATTATTTTAAGGTCATTACGAATGCATGTGCTTCACAGGCAATTATCAATTTACTTTTAAATATTGATTCAAATGATGTTAGTTTGGGAAATACACTGGAAAACTTTAAGAATTTTACTCAAAATTTTGACGCTGGATTACGTGGTCTTACTTTAAGCAACAGTGAAGAAATCCGAAAATTACATAATTCGTTCAGTCGGGAACATTTTATGGAAATGGATTTGGTTTGTATTTAATTTTTTTATTTTTCAAATTAAATTTTTGACAAAACATGATGAAATTTTTAACTCGCAAGGGATCCTTCCGAACTGTGACTAAAAATGGGGGTTAGGGCCATAAAAGACTAGCATAGGAATAGGCTATCGACCATGCTCTACACGATGGAATAATTTTTATTTAGAAATTTTTGTCACAATTAGGAAGGTTCCCTTGTTAAATATCTCAATTTTTGAATATGTTTCGCACATTTTGCAGAATAAGTTTAACCCGAAATTAATAATTTGCGTGCCCATTTGAAAACCTTTTATTGTAGATTCTTTATCAATTTTATTTTTATTAAATTTATTTTTACATTTTAAAGCCAAAGATAAAAAGTGAAGACAATTTTCATTTTATTGCTTATGTACCTGTTGAGGATAAAATTTATGAATTGGATGGATTACGCGATGCTCCTATTTTCTTGGCGGATATTAATAAAGAGGAGGGCAATAATTCAACTGATTGGATTGATATTGTTCGTCCATTCATTAAAAGACGAATTGAGAAGTAATTTTTAAAATTTTATTATTTTAAATTTGATAAATTTTAAAAACCAAACAGATAAACCAACAGGAATTTTTTAGTTTTTTAAATTTTTCTGCTCATTGGATTTTCTTACCATGTTTATTTTAAATATCTGGGCGGGTTTATCTTATATTATTGCTAACTTGCAAAATTCCTTAATTTTTAATAAAATAAAGGTTATGGCCAAAATTTAATTGTCTAAAAATTTTTCTGTAAGGAAACTCGTTCATTTATAATAAATTTAATCAGATATACTGCTGGTGAGATTCATTTTAATTTAATGGCGTTAGTCCCAAATCTACGTTCCAAATATGAACAGCGAATAGCTGAGCTTAGCACGGTTTTTACAATTTTATTTAAAAAAATTTAAAAATATTTTTAGATGGAAATGGATTCTGCTGAGGTTGGACTTGAAATTAGTCAATTACAAAATTTAATTGAAGATGAAAAGGATAAAATGAAACGTTACAAAATTGAGGTTTATTTAAAAATATTTTTTGAAATTCTTAATGGGGGAGGGGTTATTCTTTACTAGATTGTGATATAGTTTCAGAATTATTTTTTGGGGTTTTTTAAAAACTAATGTCATTGAGATACGAGAGACGATAAATACATGTTACATTTTTTTATAACTCACAGTCTAAATATCGGAGAGGAAAAATTTTCCTTAATCCAATTTTCCTCAAAACAAGTGGATAACTAAAATAGTCGAATATTATTGATTTTAAGATTAGAGAATTAAGATTTTTTGAGCAATATATTTAAATACCAAACGATATAATATACATAAATTAATGTACCATGTGACTGTCTTGACAAAAGCTAAAAGACACTTCATTCTCATTGAAATTTTTCTAATAATATAAATTTAGAATAATCGACGTCGTCACAATTATATGCCGTTTTTAATTGAATTATTAAAATGTTTGGCTAAAGAAGGCAAATTGGTTGATTTGGTTTGTGAAGCACAAGAAAAAAAGAAAAAGTCTGCGACTTCTCCAACCAAGAAAGTGGTGAAATAATTAAATATATGCACAATATTTGTTAAAATTAATTTTTTCTGATTTGAAAGTAATTTATAAAAAAATTAAAGAAAAAATCATTTTTCAATATTGATTATTGACATCGTTTAAATAAACTCGTTTTAACCTAATTTGTTTTTTATTTAAATGGTTTTATCTGATACATATGTAGTACTTGATTTTTATTTTTTCTCACTATTTTGACCGGTGCAACAATGTGTATTGCTCGGTTTTGGTTTCATATTTGGCACTTATTTTTATTTTCTGCTAAAAAGGCACCGTTGTTTGCTGTAAGTGCGAATTTAGCAGACCCCGATTTCTCGTAATTGATAATACAAAAATTTTAATGTTTAAATTAATTGTTATTTTTTAATTTAGTATTTTTCAGCAAATTCAATTAGTAATTGGAAATCAAACTTTAAATTTTTATAGAATTCAGATGGGTGAAATTAATAATTCTGATGAAATGTTAAAAGAAGAATTGGAAAATTTAAAAATTGAGAATGAAAATTTGAAGAAAATGAAAGAAGAAAGTGATAAAAAATTGGATGAAAAATGTGAAGAAAATATTAAATTAAAAGAAGAAAATTATAATTTTGCACAGGAATCGGAAAAAAATAAATTTTTAATAAAACAATTGGAAGATGAAAAATTGAAAAATTTAAATGAATATGAGGGGGAAATTAAGGTAATTTTATTGTGTAACTTTGGGATAATTTCATTTGATACGAAAATTTAATAAATTCCTTCTATGTATTATGTAGTAATAATTTTGGGATTCTAAGATTAAGAAAATTCATTCCTCGATTTCTTTAATTTATTTTTATCGAAATAAATATAATTTTATTTAGAAATTTCAAAGTAAAGTTGAAGTACTTGAAAGAGAAAAGAAATACGCTCTTGATTTGTACACAAATCTTGAGATGAAATTTGAAGAGGATAAAAATGAATTGAATAGTGAGAATTTTAATTTAAAAGCAGACAATGATCGTTTAAAAATACAAGTTATGGAACAATCTCGTGAGGAAGGACTGACATCTTTAAAGGTAAAATATGTAATTTTTAGTAAATTGATTCGAGTTGTTCATAAAATAATTTTTAATATTAAAATATATTTTTATTTAGAATTTTTATTTTTTAGCTTAGCACTGAAAATAAAAAAGTTCAATCAGAAAATGATCAATTAAAGGAAAAATTAAAAAATTATGAATCTGAATTGCATGAATATTCAGTTAAACATGAAGGTTTAAAAAAGTCAATTGATGAATTAAATAATCAAATTACTTCAATGAATGAATTGGCTAAAATAGTAAGAATAATTAATAATATTGTGAAGTAAATAGGCTTTTATTTGGTAGAAGATAATAAGTAGTAAATATTATTTCCGTCAATATCGATATATTCGACTGTAGTGGAAAATGATTTAATTTAATATGAATATCTAATAAATTCCATGTAATAGTAATGAATTTTTGGGATTCTCAGATAAAAAATTCATTCCTCCATTTTTACCTTAATTTAAATCTACATATATTTTTTAGAAAATTCAAAGTAAAGTTGAAGAACAAGAAAAAGAGAAGAAATGTGCTTTTAATCAAGAAAATGTTAAATTAAATGAAGAGGTAAATAAAATTTATTTTTATTATACAAAGTGGGTAAACCAAAAATGATTGCCCAGTCTTCATACGGTCATGATTTTTCGTTCTTTTCTATTTTTTAATGCTTCAAGTCTATTTTATATTCATTCAATTTTGCTAAATCTTCTATCTGGATATATATTGTATAAAAAATATATCTAATTTAGCATAAATTATTTTAAGATTTATTTTTCAGCTAGAAAACGATGCTTCTACGTCTCTCAATCAACAAATAATTAAGAAAATAAAACTCTTTGTGCCCCCCCACTGCCGAGACGTAATTAATTTTTAATATTTATAAATTTTAATCCAAAATTTAGACATTCCCAGGACGATTTTTAGGGCCTGGGGGCCGGACACAGAAAGAATTGGAACTCTCATGCCGGTGTAAGCTTTTCCTTGCTGGAAAAGGCGTCAAACATTCTAAAAGTGAAGAAGAAATGCATGTTCTTATAAGTGTAAGTGAAAAATAGAAATCTGATGATCTAAGACCAAAAATTTTTCAAGACTCGAGACTACACCCCAAGGCCCAGACTTCCCCAGACGCAAGACCAAAAATTAATAAGACTAGATACAATTTTTGTATCATATTGCAAATTTTTGTTGTTTTGCGTACGCCAAAATGTCGATTTTTAGAAAAATCCATGAAAAGTCTCGAGTCAAGACTCAAGGCCAAGTCTTGGACAGCTCTGATAGAAAGCATCTAGAAGGAGAAGGATTGTCATCGTAGAAGAGATTGTCACTTTTGTAACACCACAAGCGAAGATTTCCAGAATTTTAGGGATTAATTTAAGGGGATTAATTTCGTAAATTAATTTAACTAATGGCCATCCGGCGAGATACGTCAGAGTCTATCATTTTTTATTTATGTTTAGCCCATCTATCACATCAACACTTCTGATTTAGGCAAAGCTCAAAAAGAAATTATGGAACTATTTAAATTAAAAAGAATGGATCCTGTTCGAGAAGCACAATTGACTGAATTAGCAAGAATTAAACAAAAATTGGAAGAAGAAAAAGTAGCTGAATCGGAAAGAATTGAACAAGAACGTAGAGAAGAAATTAAAAAATGTCAAGAAAAAAAAGGTACGTGTATTTTGTTAACATATTTTTTGGATAATTTTGTTTTATAGTTAGATCTTTTGTTTACAAAACCTTAAAAATTGTTATTTTATATATTAAAAATTTAGATAAAGAAGAAGTAGAAGATGCTTTTACATGTTTAGTCTGTAAACAAAGATTTGGAAAGAAACACAGAATTCCAGTGCTATTTACCTGCTCACATACTTTTTGTGCAATTTGTGCTCCACGAATGAAAGAAGAAAATTTATTTACATGTCCGAAATGTCGGAAGATATCTTTGGGAAATATTCTAGATAATAAAAATTATCAATTAATAGGTATCCTTTTTGAGATTTAAGAGTTTTTTTTTTAATTTTAGAGGCGATGGAAGCAATGAAAATGTATGAAGACGATGATCCACCAACACCTCCACCAACTCCTCGTATTTGTGGTAGACTCCCTCCCCGCGACATCCCGACCATCCGGCAATGAGAGCAAACAGGAATATGCAATAAAAATGATAAAAATTATCTTTGAATTTAAATTATTTTTTGTTTAGTTAAAAATTTATTGAAATTTAGCACTCAAAATTGAAATTATTTAATTTTTCTTTTTAGAACTACTTACAGTAGTCGACAAAAAGATAGGGACAAACGCATGTAAAATGAAAATCACCTATTTTCTCAGCTAAAAATCGATTTCAGGAAAAACTTTTTGTTTGATTAAATACGCCATTTAATGCTCTATTTAATAAGTATAAGATCTGGCAGATTACTATTTTTTGATATACTGAAATAATTTAAATAAAAAAGTATTGCAAATTTTAGCCCGACAAAAAGATAGGGACAAGTCTTGTAACTAAGTAGTCACCAAACCAATAAATTTACAAAAATTCGTACAAACATAATGATCGTTACTAAGATAAAATAAAAAGGAACTAGGCCCGTATCTCATTTCAATGTCGAGATCTCGATACCCCAAAAATCAACGTAAAACAGAGGTAAGCAACTTCAAAAAATATTTTCGACCCCTTATGGATTTTTTAAAATTTTTATTTTGAGCCTATTCGATAGCTCTTGAAATTTGCTATAAACTAGCCAAATTTCATTTTTCAGAAAAAAATACTTCGTTAGTTGCAGAGGCGAATGTTACAAAAAGCATCAAACACCCCATAAATTCCCACAAAAATGGCGTTTTGAAGAATCGTCGTCCTTTATCTCGGGAGTGAAATTTTTTTTGAAATGAAAATTGTCACGTTTATAGCACAATTAAAGATCTATCGAATAAGCCTAAAATGAAAATTTAAAACCTTCAATAAGGGGTCCGAAAAAAATTTTGAAGTCGAAAAACCCTATTTTACGTTGATTTTTGGGGTATCTAGATTTCGACAACGAAATGAGATATGGACCTAGTTTCTATTTTATTTCTTCTTATTATCGATCATTATGCTTACAATAAATTTTGTAGATTTTTCGCTTCTATGAGAACTTAGTTACAAGACTTGTCCCTATCTTTTTGTCGCGCTTAAAATAGCATACCTTTAGTTTTTCAATGAGGGTTGAATTTTATAAAAAATTAAACAGGCAAATTTTCTACTCATTAAATAGAGCATTAAATCTAGTATTTAATAAATCAAAAAATTTTTTCTAAAATCGATTTTTAGCTGAGAAAATACGTGATTTTCATTTTGCTTGCGTTTGTCCCTATCTTTTTGTCGACTACTGTATCTTATTTTTACATATTAAAAGTTTGCAGTTTTTATATTAAAATTTTGATTTTATTGTCAAGGAGGAAATGGGAACGGATGCTAGAGACTGGTTTTTTTCTATTTAAAATTTAAAATAACATTTTCAATTATTTTAAAGGTGTCTTATCGAGAGCGATCCCGGTGTTTTTACTGAATTAATCAATGGCATAGGCGTTCAAGGTGTTCAAAATGAAGAGCTTTATTCAATAGACGATGAGGAACATCTTGACAAATTAAAGTATTTTTTAATTTCCTTAAATTAACTCAGATTAGCCCATTAAAAGGCTAAACTACAGTTACGTACTAGCTCAAAATTGGACATTTTATATTGGGACACGCCCAAGTAGGCGCGCGGCCATGTAGGCGCAAAGCCATAACTAGCTAGAAAATTTCCGGACCTTAATAATTTTATGGCTTTGCGCCTACTTGGCCGCGCACCTACTTAGGCTGTACCTTTTTATATGCCATTCAGTTGAACTCGTCGAGCTGACTTGTATGACACCAAAATCAACAAATTTGGTGTTGATTTTGCCCTCCCGCTTGGTTTTTGACCATTTCGAGCCCTATTTCTCGGCTCAGAGTGTGAGGAAATTCGATCATTTAAAATAAATTTAATTAGATATACTGCTGGTGAGATTCATTTTAATTTAATGGCGTTGGTCCCAAATTTGCGTTCCAAATATGAACAGCGAATAGCTGAGCTTAGCACGGTTTTTACAATTTTATTTTAAAAATTAAAAAATATTTTTATGTTAGATGGAAATGGACTGCTGAAGTTGGACTGGAAATTAGTCAATTACAAAATCTAATTGAAGATGAAAAGGATAAAATGAAACGTTACAAAATTGAGGTTATTTTTATTTAAGAATATTTTTTTGATATTTTTATGGGGTGGTGGGTTTATTCTTTGCTAGATTGTGATATAATTTCAGAGTTATATTTTTTGGCCTATTCAAAGGCTAAACTACAGTTTCCGTACTAGGCTCAAAATTGAACAATTTATATGTCATTCGAAAGAGCTCGTTGAGCTTAGTCGAATGTCATCAAGATCAACAAATTTGGTGTTGATTCTGACCCCCCCTATGGTTTTTGACTATTTCGAGCTCTATATCTCGGCTCAGAGTTGTTTCCGCAAGCTAATTTTGGTGCCATTCGACTCAGTTAATCTCTTTTGATTGACATATAAATTGTCCAATTTTGAGCTTAGTAAAAATTTATATGTCATTCGACTGTAGTTCGGCCCATTAAAAAATCATTTATTTAATAATTATAGGCCAATTTATGGTCTAATCTTTTTTTTCAAATGGCGACAAGGTGAAGAAGTAGAGGGTACTCTTCAACCTGATGCTCCCGTCTATTTTGCTAAACAGGTTATTTTTTGTTGTTTAGTGTTTTTAAATTATTTTAAGGTCATTACGAATGCATGTGCTTCACAGGCAATTATTAATTTACTTCTAAATATTGATTCAAATGATGTTAGTTTGGGGAATACACTGGAAAACTTTAAAAATTTTACTCAAAATTTTGACGCTGGATTACGTGGTCTTACTTTAAGCAACAGTGAAGAAATCCGAAAATTGCATAATTCGTTCAGTCGGGAACATTTTATGGAAATGGATTTGGTTTGTATTTAAATTTTTTATTTTTCAAATTAATTTTTTGACAAAACAATAAAAATTTTAACTCGCAAGGGAACCTTCCGAACTGTGACCAAAAATGGCGGTCAGGGCCAAAAAAGCCTAGCATAGGAATAGACTATCGACCATGCTCTACACGGTGGAATAATTTTTATCTAGAAATTTTTGGTCGCAGTTAGGAAGGTTCATTTGTCAAATATCTCAATTTCTGAATATGTTTCACACATTTTGAAGAATAAGTTAAACCCGAAATTAATAATTTGCGAACTCATTTGAAGACCAATCTCTCTATTTTATTGGGGTTTTTAAGTTCTTAATTCTAAATCTTTCCCATCCAAAGTTTCAAAATTATTGTAGATTTTTTATCAATCTTATTTTTATTAAATTTATTTTTACATTTTAAAGCCAAAAATTAAAAGTGAAGACAATTTTCATTTTATTGCTTATGTGCCTGTTGAAGATAAAATTTATGAATTAGATGGATTACGCGATGCTCCTATCTTTTTGGCGGATATTAATAAAGAGGAGGGCAATAATTCAACTGATTGGATTGATATTGTTCGTCCATTCATTAAAAGACGAATTGAGAAGTAATTTTTTTAAATTTTATTATTTTAAATTTGGTGAATTTTAAAAACCAAACAGAAAGAATTTTCTACATTATTTAAAAAATTTTTTTAGTTCATTAGATTTTCTTAACATTTTATTTTAAATATCTAGGCGGGTTCATCTTAATTATTTTAACCTACAAAATTTCCCAATTTTTAATAAAATAATGGTTATCGCCCAAATTTAATTTTTAAAAAATTTTTCTGTGAGGAAATTCGATCATTTAAAATAAATTTAATTAGATATACTGCTGGTGAGATTCATTTTAATTTAATGGCGTTGGTCCCAAATTTGCGTTCCAAATATGAACAGCGAATAGTTGAGCTTAGCACGGTTTTTACAATTTTATTTAAAAAAATTTAAAAATATTTTTAGATGGAAATGGATTCTGCTGAGGTTGGACTTGAAATTAGTCAATTACAAAATTTAATTGAAGATGAAAAGGATAAAATGAAACGTTACAAAATTGAGGTTTATTTAAAAATATTTTTTGAAATTTTTAATGGGGGAGGGGTTATTCTTTATTAGATTGTGATATAATTTTAGAATTATTTTTTTGGGGTTTTTTAAAAACTAATATCATTTATTCATTGAGATACGAGAGACGATAAATACATGCTACATTTTTTATCTCACAATCTAAATTTCGGAGAGAAAAAATTTCCTTAATCCAATTTTCCTCAAAACGAGTGGATATTAGTCGAATATTATTTATTTTAAGATTAGAGATTTAAGATCTTTTATGAGTAATATATTTGAATACTAAACGATAGCTAAAATGGAAACGGTAAAACACTTCATTCTCGATGAAATTTTTTTTATTAAATTTTTCTAATATAAATTTAGAATAATCGACGTCGCCACAATTATATGCCGTTTTTAATTGAATTATTAAAATGTTTGGCTAAAGAAGGCAAATTGGTTGATTCGGTTTGTGAAGCACAAGAGAAAAAGAAAAAATCTGCAACTTCTCCAACCAAGAAAGTGGTGAAATAATTAAATATATGCACAATATTTGTTAAAATTAAATTCTTTTCTGATTTGAAAGTAATTTATAAAAAATTAAAGAAAAAATCATTTTTCAATATTTTTTATTGGCATCGTTTAAATAAACTCGTTTTAACCTAATTTGTTTTTTATTTAAATGGTTTTATCTGATACATATGTAGTACTTGATTTTTATTTTTTCTCACTATTTTGACCGGTGCAACAATGTGTATTGCTCGGTTTTGGTTTCATATTTGGCACTTATTTTTATTTTCTGCTAAAAAGGCACCGTTGTTTGCTGTAAGTGCGAATTTAGCAGACCCCGATTTCTCGTAATTGATAATACAAAAATTTTAATGTTTAAATTAATTGTTATTTTTTAATTTAGTATTTTTCAGCAAATTCAATTAGTAATTGGAAATCAAACTTTAAATTTTTATAGAATTCAGATGGGTGAAATTAATAATTCTGATGAAATGTTAAAAGAAGAATTGGAAAATTTAAAAATTGAGAATGAAAATTTGAAGAAAATGAAAGAAGAAGGCTACCCTACAAAACATATTTTTTTAAAACAGCAAACGCTCAAAACATCTAGACTGCTAAAAAGGCTCAAAATATATTCGCTCAAAACATCAAACGCTCAAAACATCTAGACGGCTAAAAAGGCTCAAAATATCAAAATATTTTTTGATTAAAAGGGACAGTTGAGTCCCATATTTCTTCCTCGCATCAGGGGTGAATAATGTAGTATCTCAGGACCAATTTTGCATGAACTCGACGTGTTGTGAAAGGGCTCGACGAGCTGAGTCTAATAACACCAAAATCAGCTCGATTGGATGAGTATGAACAAAGTTATGACCTTCGCTACACGATGGCCGTGCTTCGCTGCGGTCGTGCTCGCTTCGCTCGCGGCGACCGTAGCGAAGCGGCGGCCGTCGTTCCGCTCGACATGCCCGGCTTCCTCCGCAGCGGCAAAAACTTTTTTCCGCGGACTCAACTGTCCCCTTTAAATGAAAAAATATATTTTGATATTTTGAGCGTTTGATGTTTTGAGCGAATATATTTTGAGCCTTTTTAGTCGTCTAGATGTTTTGAGCGTTTTTACCAGTCTAGATATTTTGAGCGTTTTTAGTCGTCTAGATATTTTAAGCGTTTGATGTTTTGAGCGGGCACGAAGAAGAAAGTGATAAAAAATTGGATGAAAAATGTGAAGAAAATATTAAATTAAAAGAAGAAAATTATAATTTTGCACAGGAATCGGAAAAAAATAAATTTTTAATAAAACAATTGGAAGATGAAAAATTGAAAAATTTAAATGAATATGAGGGGGAAATTAAGGTAATTTTATTGTGTAACTTTGGGATAATTTCATTTGATACGAAAATTTAATAAATTCCTTCTATGTATTATGTAGTAATAATTTTGGGATTCTAAGATTAAGAAAATTCATTCCTCCATTTTTAACAAAATTTAAATAAAAAAAAAATAATTTTTATTTAGAAATTTCAAAGTAAAGTTGAAGAACTTGAAAAAGAGAAGAAATGTGCTCTTAATTTATATACAAATCTTGAGATAAAATTTGAAGAGGATAAAAATGAATTGATTATTAATTTAAAAGCAGACAATAAACGTTTAAAAAAACAAGTAATGGAACAATCTTGTGAGGAAGGATTGACATCTTTAAAGGTAAAAAAAATATAATTTTTAGTAAATTGATTCGAGTTGTTCATAAAATAATTTTTAAAATTAAAATATTTATTAGAATTTTTATTTTTTAATTTTTTAGCTTAGCACTGAAAATAAAAAAGTTCAATCAGAAAATGAACAATTAAAGGAAAAATTAAATAATTATGAATTTGAATTGAATGAATATTCAGTTAAACATGAAGAATTAAAAACGTCAATTGATGAATTAAATAATCAAATTACTTCAATGAATGAATTGGCTAAGATGGTAAGAGTAAATAAAAATATTTAAATCCAAAAAATCATTCGTTTTCGATTTAGTTTAATAGACAACCCTTATATATTAGTAGATCTTGAGTTCGAAAATTCAATCTCGAAAAATTCAATTTTTTGAATCAATTTCCCATTTTTGGAATTTTCGAAAAAAATTTCAGTATCCATTTTTTATATACGAGAATGTATGAGTTACTCGCATATACGAAGTAAACAGAATTTAACAGCATTAAAACTAAAAAAATTATAGTAATTGAAAAAATTAAAACTGAATTTAGAATTTAAATTTATTTTTAATATTTTTTTAGCTTAGAGAAGAAAATTCAAAACTGCAAACAGATAGGGATACATTAATTAAAAGAGTCGAAGAGTTTGAATTTTTAATGGATGAATATTCAGTTGAACGTGGGCAATTTGTTGAGTTAATTAAAAGCAAAGAAAAAGAATTGGATGAAGAAAAGGAAAAAGTTGAAGAATTAAATATTTCGAATAAAACTTTGGAAGAAGAATTTAACAAAATTAAAACTGAACATATTAATTTAACTACAAAAAATGCTAAATTAAATACTAAGGTAAATAAAATATATTTTTATTTTAATAATTATATAAATATATGGGTAGCCTGAAAGTTTTTATTTTTTATTCCCTAATGATTTAAATTTATTCCCTAATGATTTATAAAATCCAGGACGACAGTTGAGGGTATAAATTTTTTTAAATCTAAGATTTTTCAAATTTTTCAATGCCGCGTTTATTTAGAAATGGTTCGAAAACCGTTAGAAGTCGGAAACCGTCAGCTGGGACTAAAAAAAGGATCCCATTTCACTAATTTTTAAAATTTAAAAAAATTTTAAATCCGCAATTGGCAAATCCGCAATCGTCGTACAGAATTGTCGCGTTCGCAGTTGCGTATCCGCAATTGTCGTAACACCTCGAGTTGTTCGTAAAATAATTTTTAAAATTGAAATAGATTTGGAATTTTTAGTTAAGCACTCTAATTAGATATATTCTGTATAGAAAAATATGTTTAAGTTAGCAAATTTAAGATATATTTTTTAGTTTGAAAACGAAGACAAATTATATTGTAATGATACTTCAACATCTCAACAGTTAAGCGAGCCAATAAAACTCTTTGTTCCTGCCGATATTCGAGAAGTAATTATTTTACAATATTTATAAATTTGAATCCAAAATTTAGGTATTCCCAGGACGATTTTTGGGACCTTGTGGTAGGTCGCAACGAGAGCTGGAACTTGCTTGCCGATGTAAACTTAAAATTGATGGGAAAGGGGTCAGAAATTCGACAAGTGAAGAAGAAATGCATGTTATTATAAGTGTATGTGAAAAATAAAAGGCGATCATTTTTTATTCTTATTTTATCTTTAGCCCAGCAAACTCAGTGCATATCCTGATGTATCCAAGGCAAAATCAGAAGTAATAAAATTATTTAAGCTGGGTCTAATGGATCCTGGAAGAGAGGACCAATTAGCTGAAGTTGCAAGAATTAAAAAACAAGAATTAAGAAAAAAACAATCAGCTGAATCAGAAAGAAACGAACAAAAAATTAGAGAGGAAAGATTAGCTTTTTTAGAAGATGATAGAAAATGTCAAGAGGAAAAAGGTAAGCATATTTTATTGGCCTATTTTTATGAAATTTTATTCTTACAAGGGAACATAGTCTTACAAGGGAACAAGGGAATTTGACATATTTTTTAGTACCATTCGTTAGAGGACGCTCGACTTAATATTGTGGCGTGATCCTTTTTTTGAAAAATTAGTTTGGGCCGAGTTAAGCCGTTCAAGGTTTCAGTCCTTGGGTGTGGTTGAGTATAAGTTGAATAGATAAAAGAACGAGCTCTCTTTTTTCTTCACGTTGTCTTACAAAGTGGAAAAAAGAATGAAAGAGGCGCAGGAAAAAAAGAAGGAAGAAAAAAATTAGAAAAAATTGAATTTAAAATTAAAAAAATTTTTTTTAATCTTTTTTAAATTCGTTAGACACAATAAACAAAAAGGAGATGGGCGTGTGGGTTATTTTAGGATGAAAAAGAAGAGAGGTTTCTAATTTACCCTATAACTTCAGACTAGCGGTCCAATTTTGAACGGCCATAACTCGGCCTAAACTAATTTTGCAAAAACCATAGATATATAATAAAACCAAAAATATAACAAATTCGCACTGAAAGTAAACGATGTTCCCTTGTTAGATCTTTTGTTTACAAAAACTTTAAAAAATTATTCTATATTAAAAATCTAGATAAAGAACTACTTGAGTCCTTTAAATGTTCAGTATGTTTTGAACAATACGGAAGTACTTACAGAGTTCCAGTGATAGCCAGCTGCTCGCATACTACCTGTTCTGCTTGTGTAAAAAGAATATTACAAGACAATCAATGTTATGCAGAAAAAAATTCATTTAAATGTCCTCGCTGTCGGGGGCAAACACCTATTGAAAATGTCTTTAATAAAAATTATCAATTAATAGGTATTCTTTTTAAGATTTAAGAGTTTTTTTGAATTTTAGAAGTTATGAAAGCAATGAAAATGTATGAAGATGACAGTAATAATCCACCAATATATCCTGCAGTGAGAGGATTTTGGAATGGGATACAATAAAAATGATAAGAATGATCTTTGAATTTAAATTATTTTTTGTTTAGTTAATTTTTTGTTTATGATCTGGAATTGGCAGGAGTTTAAAACACTTAAGTGGAGGAGTGGATTATTGTTCGTTTTCCCAATTTGCCTACCCTACTAAAAACCCAATAACCCTCCCCGTCAAAACTATAAACTTCACCTTAGTGTTTTAAACTCTTGCCAAAATTCAGATCCTATTCAACGAGTATATTTGAATTTAAATTATTTTTTGTTTAGTTAATTTTTTGTTTAGTTAAAATTAAATATATGCACAATGTTTGTTAAAATTAAATTCTTGTCTGATTTAAAAGTAAATTTTAAAAAAATTTCGAAGAGAAAAAATCATTTTAATATTTTTTATTGACATTGTATTTCATTGTCTGTTTGTATAGCAATCCATTCACAATCAATTTGAGTGTAATAGTCTTTAAATAATTTTTTACAATTCTTTTTGGGCTTAATTATTTTTTACCATGCATTGGGGCATCTTTTCCGTGACATGGGCCACCGGTCAGTGTTCCAATTTGTGTCCATTTGCCTGGGGCAGAAGATAACTTCAAAAATAATATTTTTACTTAAGTAATCAAAAAACCAAAAAGTTTTTTCAAATAAAATTACCAAAAGGGGTCCACCACTATCCCCACTTTCCACCACAGTTTTATTGCTTACAACGCATATTTTATCTGTTAATTTAGATGCTACACGTCTACGTAACTCTCTAGGATTCATTCCATATAGTGCTGGGAAGAAATTTGTCGCGTCTAAAGTATATTTTTAGAACAATCAGAATTTTTTAGTAATTTTCATTACTTCTTTTTGCCATTTCTTCCATATGCCATTTTGTCTCTAAATCAACACATTCTTCTGTAGGCAATATATTTTCCTTAATAAAAATCAAATATTCCTTTTTTTGTAGTTACATTACCCTGCCATATTGAAGTCTTTCTGGTATTTTTGGATGTGTTATTTTCCAAATAATTGAGCTATCGCAATGAGCTTTAGATAATATTTTTTTAAATTTACAATTTAATTTTACGTTTAGTATTTCCCCATCCAGCAACTAATACTTTAGTTTCGACAGTAGTAACAGCCATTGCTGCTGAATTACGTGAAAGGCAAATTGGCCACAAAGTTTCGCTTAAATTCATAGGTGTTGCTAACTTAAAAGGAATTTCTTTTTTTTAAAAAATAAATCTTTATTTTTTAACTTTTAAAATCGCCATATCAAAAGTTGTTACAGAACCTATTTGATCATCAATTCTATCATTATATTCACTCCTCAAAATAATTTTTTCTACACTTATAGGCGTTGCTTGACTTAGATTTGCTGATCCAACAAAAACAACCAAAGATTCTGCTGGAATAGATTTTCCATTACCGGCATGTACGCAATGACCGGCACTAAGTATATATTGTCTTTTAAAAAGGAATTTATTTATTTCCAAATTATTTTCTTCTATTAACCTTCCAATTACTGAACCTGTACAAACAGCATGTCCCAATAAAAAAGCCATCCAAGGCAAATGTCCATCACTTATTATATCATCCCCTCTATATACAGATTGTGCCCCTTCCGGAGGTAATTCTAAAGTAGAAATTCCACATTGTTGAGATTCCACAAAATTTATTTTTAAAATAATTAAAAACAAAAATTTTAAAATTAAAATATTTTTATTAAATAGATTTATATATTTTTTGTTATTTTTTGGTTTTAAAGAAATACAAATCATAATTATTCTTTTTTTACAAATTATTTTAAAAATAAAATAATAAAAAGAGATTTCTTGAGTTATTTAAAAAATTAATTTATATAGAAAATATTTTTATTTTTTTGTTAAACAAAAATTAAAAGGGTTTAGACATTTTATTGTAAACTTTTTATTGTAACTCTATTGTATTTGATATATTATTCTCCAGAAAAAATAAATTGTTTATTCATAATAAAAAAATAATTCCTTTAAATGAGTAAAGCATTAAAATTAATAAAATTTATTATTTATTTACTTTAATTTAAAATAAATATTTTTATTATTTAATGTTTGAAAAGAAATAAAAAAATATTTATTTTTTATTATTCGTCTGATTTTTGTATTTATTAAAATTTATTCTTTTTTGTTTGTTTTTGACTACATATTAAATAATATAAATTTTAATAAATATATATTCTTTACTAATTTTTATTTCTAAATATATTGCTAAATATTTTAGTAAAAGAAAAACTAATTTCCATTAATTTTTGTAAATTTATCACTTTTCTCATCTTCCTTAGTTATTTTAATTTCTCTAAATTTATTTAAATTAATTAAAAGTTGAGGTTTTGGTGTTTGAATAATTATTGAAGCTAATTTGTAAAAGAGATCCTGAATATCTGCGGGCAAACAAGCAAAGGGTAAAAAGAAAAAATTGAAATCATTTCCAACTTAAAAGAAAAATAAATTTAAAAATAATTATTTTAGGAAAACTTTGATATCTTCTTTTAGGCCATTCAGAACTAATTGCTTCCCAATAAGCATTGACAACAAGTTCTGTTTTGGAACTTAGATTTTTTGGGTCAATGAGAAATAATAAATTCTTTTTACCTAAATTATTTAAGTATTTTTTAATTTAAAAAATTATTTTCAAACTAAATTCGTAAAGTTGTTGCCCATAATCATTTTTTACATTTTCTGAAGCTCTTAACCAAAGTTTTTCAAACATTGCCAAATTTCTTTCAACGCTAGTTAGGGGAGTTTTGAAGAATCCTTTTTTTTAATAATTTATAGAAAATAATTTTTGAAAAATACCTGGTTCTAATATACAAACTTTAACACCAAAAATTAATAATTCAGATCTTTTTAAAATATTTTAAGATAATAATTTTCCGGTTTAAATTACCGGATTGTGTCTGCATAAGCTTCTATAGCATATTTCGAAACCTACAATTAATTTGTTTAACTTTTTAGTTTTTTCAAAAATAAAGATTATTTTTATTTTTACTTACATTATAAGGTCCAAGTGTAGGTATAGCAACACGGGCACATGTACTGGCCATAAAAATAATTCTCGAACCTCTTTCCAATTTAATTAAACGTTTGAATAATTGAGTTACTCTTATCATTCCCATAGTGTTAACTTTAATTATTCAATTAAAAATTATAAAATATAATTTTTACCTTCCCAAACTTGTTGATAATCATCTGGTACAAGCCAATCATCCCATGCCTTAATAATATTTTTTAAATAAAAGGAAATATTCTCTCAATTTATTGACAATTAATCTTTGAAGTCAAATTCGTAACAATTTTAGTTTCAATGTTTTTCTGTCAAAACTGCCCTCTCATTTTTGTAAGGAGATTCTCATGAAAAAATAAAGGAGAAACGATCCATTAGCATTTTTAACTTCCCAAAAGATTTCTATTATTTATCTCTTAAATTAATTAAACAAGTCAAAGAGACATACAGTATTGCCAACAATTCCGGCATTGTTGACAAGTGCATGAATTCCTGTATTGTTCGACAATTTTGATTCTACAAATTTAAGACCATTGGCTACGGATTTTTCATTTCTAACATCCATTTGAAATAAATGTAGAATTCCATTTGCTTTCTCTTTTTGTTTTGAGGCTTCTTTTTCAAGTGCTTTCATTCCCTAGATAGAGGAAATTGTAAAATTTTATTTAAGGAAAATTATCAGAAGAAGGAGGAAAAACTCCTTTGTAATTCTAGATTCTCATTTCCCCCAATCCTCGACCAACAAAATTTCTACCCTTTTCTTAATTATAAACCCATTCTTCTGCAAGTGCGGACACAACACTTTATATTATCAAAAATCTAATATAATATTTACTAACCTCATCACTAAGGCAAGCAGCAAAAACACACAATCCTTTATTAAAACATTTTATAGCCAAATCAAATCCAAATCCAGAATCACACCCTGTGATTAACACAGATTTATGTTCTAGATTATTAACTTTAATTCTTCTAATTAGTCCTCGAAAAGCAAAAAAGAAAAAAATAATAAATATAGAAGAAAATAATATAATCATTTTTTACTTAAAAAATTTAAATTTTTTAATATTATTTTGTATAGTTTTTTGAAATTGAATATTTTAGGTTAATTCAATTTAATAAAGGCTTTCTCAATTTAGTGGCCAGGAATCTGGAGTATATCATTAAATTTTGAAATTGGGATATTTTATCAAAGCCCGTATAGAATCCTTTAAAAATATGATAATTATTCTTCTCTAATTCACAGAACAGAATTTTGTTTTGTTATATAAACAAAAATTATTAAAATAAATTAAAGTTCTGAAGGTCGAATGAATTTAAATATTGCAAATAATTTATTTTTTTTAGTTAATTAAAGTTAACACATTTTTATGAACAAATAAGACAATCGTTACAATATAACCAACTATGATGGATTAGGTAAGGTGTTAATTTTAAAAATTCAACAACAATATTTCCACATTAAAATTTAAAGATCAGGTTCAACAAATTTACCTTTCTACTCTCAAAAGTTTTTATTTGGAATATCTTATGAAAAAAACATTTTTTTCTTTAAAATTACTATATAATTTTCGAAGAAATAGAAACACAAAAATTAATTAAAAATAATTAATTTTGTTTATTTCTTAAAATTATTTTTCCTAATTTTATAATTATTCACGCATTAATGTGTTCTAGTTTTTTATTAAAAATATTAATTCTTTAAATAATTTTTCAAGTTTTTAATAATTATTTGGCGATTAAGAATTGCAAATGAAAGTAATTTCGTGAAGAAATAAATTAATATTTAAATATTTTAAAGAAAAATAGTTTGTTTAATTAAAAGGAAAATAAAGTATATTTTTTGTATATTTTTGTAATAAAATTTATTGAAAAATTATTACTTTTTATGAAAATAAGAAAAAATAAAAGTAATTGATATGATTTTTGAATTGATAAAAATGAAAAAGCACTTTTTATTAACAAAAAATGACAGAAATAAAGGGTGCTTCTTGTGATTATTTAAATGTAAAATTGAGGTAATAAAAAATTGTAAATTAAAGGGAAATTGTGAGAAAGGAAGGAATTTTTTGATTTTGGGATAGTGATTTGAAGAATATGTAATAGATTTAAAAAAGTGAGAATTTTTGGAAAAATCTAAATATTTAATAATTAAAAATAATAATTTAAAATTTAATATTTTTAATTAATTAATTGACTCAATTAATATGATATTGACTCAATCAATTAATATGAAATACTCATTATTTTGATGCAAACTAAATTGATAAGCTTTCACTTGCATATGTAAAAACAATTGAGTGCTAGAAAAAATTAAAAATAGAGTTATAAAAAGAGAAAAATCAAATATAGATTAATTAATTATTTAATTTGTATTTTGTGATTAAATAAATTCTAGAATTTCTTTGCATAGTTTTTAAAATAAAAGTAATTTAATTAATCATAATTAATAGAAACTTTAATAAATCAAAGAATACAAAATACACAAATTTGGTATTGTTGTTATACCTTGTTTCTCAAGAAGGTAATATTTATATAAGTACCAAACACATCCCAAAATTATAAAATACTGGAAAGGATTGATCTTCTTCATAACTAGGCCGTGAAGAAACTTCATCATTTTTTAGAATATTTCAAAAAATTACTAAATATTAGTTTAAAATTATTTTCTAATGATTTGATTAACGAAACTTGAATTACAATGACATGCCCCTGTATACTGTCAAAAATAACAAAGCTTCCGAATTTTGAATCAAAATTTATAACAAACGTTTCTATTGAAACTTATTCTGAGTGGCGGAAATGGAAATTCAAAACACCGTAAAATTTGAATTACAACGAAATACCCTTCAATATATTTTTTCGTGCTTATACATATTTATGGTTCTTAAATAAAAATCCCAAAATTATTAACTAAGAAAAATTCTTAACTTTCTATCAGTAAAAATATTTAATTTTTGTAATATTTATTTTTTTAAATTTGATTATATAATTTGTTGCTGCAGAAGAAATGCCGTAGACTGGCCTAATCCCATCGTGTGCTTGTTGAATTCGCTAGAGGCCTCGCTCATCACAAGCAGATGCTTCCTACAATACATATGATACAAAGTAACAAAAAATCCATTGATCTCCCACATACATACATAGTTCCCGATGCAAATAATTTCTTTAAAACTCTCAAACTCACTCATAAACTAAGTATTTGAGCTCCTTTACTTTTTCAATATTTTGATTTTTAAATGTAATTCAAAAATAACAAAAAGAAACATTTATTTAATGTCAAATATTTAGACATCGTTAAGAAATAAAATATAAATAATAACACAAAATAAAATGCAGCCACAATTTGTAGCTAAATCATATAAAGAGATCACAAAAAAACAAAAAAAACTATTAAATTAATTTAAAAAATATTTTTAGCCAATTTGGCTTATTTTCTTCTATTTTTTCTTTTTTTTATTATCTCTACATTCTCAACATCATATTTTTTCTTAAATCGCCAACCATTCCTTCAATTGCTTCTGTTACTTGACCTTCATTTAAGAAACGACTCTGAAAAAATAAAAAATAATTAAATTTTTATTTGAAATCTAGTAAAAAATTTGCTGAGGAAACGTGGTTATTTGACAGTTAATTTACGGGGAATAAGCCTTTAGTTATTTATTTTTAAAAATATTCTTTACCTGTCTAAAATAATGTTGTGCCAATTCAAGAGAAGGAACATCAGAATTAGCACTACTAATCCCAATAAATTGTGCCCCAACCATTATTGGCTTATTAGAAAAACGGATTTTTGGATCACGAAGCAAAGTATTAGAGAGAGCATCATTCAAAGCCTCAGGGGACCTTCTACGTAATTGGCCGTCATTTAATTCTTTTTTGTTTGTATTTAATTCAGCCAAAACAATTGCTGTTTTAGAACAAGGGTGTAATTCTGTCCATTTTTTGTGTAAATCAGAAATTCTTTTTGTAGCCAAATCTGGTTGTTCTAATTTTTTAACAATAATTAATGAAAGGGCTAAGCCAGAAGATGGACATTTTGCTGCATTTTCAAATTCCCAAAGTGGTGGAGCCTTGAAAAATATAGGGAATTACATAAAAATTAAATTAAAAACTATTTTTAAATATTTTGGGAAGCTTCAGTATCTTTTTTGAATATGTATCCAAAACATGAACTAAGAAAAACTAATATACTAACCGAGGTTTTTTGAATTGGTCTAGTTTAGAAAAAATGATGAGAATAGTGAAATTATTAATTTTTAAATATTTGAATAGGCACTGAATTACCCAAAAATCTTAACAAATCACAAATAATAAAAATCTCTTCTTCACCTACCCCCCATTCACCCTTCCCTTCACACAATATCCTTAAAAATTTTATATTTTCTTATAGCCTAAAAATATTCTTAAAAAATACGAACCGGATAAAAAGTAACATTAGTTGACTGTTCCAATTCAATTAATGCTTCATTAATTCTGTCTAATTGTTCATAATTTAAAATATTATCGGGATCACAAATTCTAGTTTTTAATTCTGACAAACAATTTTCAATTCCATCAATATTATTTTTATTATTTCCAGAAATTTTTAAACTTCTTAGACGAACAATTGAATTAGCAGAAATTAAAAGGAAAGTGCTGCTAATTTTTAAAATTAAAAGAGAAAGGAATAATTGCATTTTTGTTAACAAAAAATTATTTTTTGATTAAATTAATCAAACTAAAAATTAGAAAAAAATTAATGTTCAAAAATAATGTAAAAATTAATTATTTAAGTAATTTAAATAGCTAAGTACCTAATAAATATGTATTTAGATGGTGAGTTTTAAGGGGCTAGGAAGGGGAACCGGAAATGAATATGGCAACGATAATCAAAATAGGCAATAATAATTTAGGATATTATGATGCTAGAAAGTTAGAAAGGATTTTGAATCAAAGCTTGAAGCAAACTTTTTTTATTATTCAAATTTTAATTAAATAATTTAGAAAAAAAAATTTTAAAGTAAGAAGATATATTTAATTTAAAATAAAATAATTAAAAATGTCATCAACATAAAATTGTTTAAATAGAAAATTGAATGGGTGTGAGTGTGTATTTGACCGTTAATTTATTTAATTTAATTAAATTAATGTAATCAATCAAAAATAAAAAGAAGACAAATAAAAAGTTTGGCCAAAAAGTTAATTAATATATTTAAATTTAGGAGAATAAAATTAAATTTTATGGACTAATTTCCGTTCAATTTAAAGTTTTATTGTATTTAATTAAGTACTTAAGTTCTTTTTTTAAATCAAAAAAAAAGTTTTAATTAATTTTTAATTTGATTGCCCTTTGTACATAATTTATCATTTATAATGTTTCGAGAATTTTACGATTAATTAAACTTATTTAATTTTTTATTACCGACAGTATTTATTCTAGTAGGCCTAACGACAGTTTTAATTACATACTATAACCTTTAAAAAATATCGTTTACAATAGTAATGTTGAGTATCAGCTTATTAAAAACTACGAGCTAAAAATTTTTTAAAAACAAACTAGATTTGGCTGCCTCAACATTCATGATGAGACAGGTGAGGATGGGGGACGTTTTAGGAATCATCATCTGCCGCCAGACATCAGATCCGATTCACTCTTAGTTTCCGTTTTCACGTTAAGCATTGAATTTTCATTTTTTTATAATTATTCTTTATACCCACCCCTATAATCTGATATAGACCGGGGAAGGAGAAAATGTTTTTATTAAATTTGAAGTTAAAATGTTAATAATATATGTAGTTGAATAATAAATTATTATAATAAATTATTTTTTAATTAAATTAAAATTAAATTTGAAATATAAAGTTGAGTTTATATGATCAATAAATACTAGAAAATAAAGGAAATATTTAAGTATATACTTACACGTGAAGAAGATATGAAAATAATAAATGTAAACATTTTGTAAACAAATGAATTTAAAGAAAAATTGAAAGAAAAACCAGTTTTTTAATAAAAATTTATTTGCGCGGCTGTTTGGCGAATAGAGAAGGGGAAGGAGGTTAAATGTAGATAAATTGATGGTGAAATGAGAATATTGGTAATGACGTTTGGAAATTAGTAATTTAATTTAAAAAGTCTTCAAAATAAATAAAAATTAATTTTAATTTTTAGGAAAATATAAAAATTAAAAGAAAATATTTTGAAAAATACCAATGCAGCTAATTGGATTTTAGACAGACTATAAATAAAATAAAAACGAAAAACATTTCTTAGGAATTGCCCTTTAATTTAAGATGATCGAACAGTGGAACCAAATTAATTTTAAAATAGAATTACCCAAATTTACAAAAATAAATTGTAAATTGTTTTTAAGCTTTAATAAAATTATTAAGATTTCTATTTTGTGTTTTCCAACCTCTGGATATAACGAAATAGTAAATAGTTTAAACTTTTAGATATATAAAATCAAGTAAATTAAAATAATATATAAAATTGATTTTTAAATTTAATTTTCTGACAATTTTAATTTATTTGTTCACTTTTACTATAAATTCATTCCTTTCAAATTAGTGCAATTTTTAAGACATACTCTAATAAATTAAAGTAAAATTAAATAAATATCACGCGAACTTGAATGGAATAAATAAAATGATAAATAAAATTAGTCCCCAAAATGATAAATTAGAAAAAAAGAACTTTAATTTTAAAATTGAAATAAAATAATTATATTTAATTATTTGAAGTATATGTATGTATAACAAAATTTGAAAAAAACCCAAACAAAAAATTTTTTTAAATATTTATTTTAATCCAAACTAGTTGTTTTCCTCACTATTTTCATAATAAAGAATAAATTGAACACAATGAGAATAAAAAGAATGGCTAAAAATATATTTTTTATAAACAAAAATAATAAATATTTTTGACGGCTTTTGTTATTTTTTTTATATGATTGTTGGTCGATAAATAAAAAATAAATGTATGTCCGTCAAATAAATTTTAGCGATACCTTCATTTATTTATTTGTTGTGTAGTTTGTTCGAGGGATAAAAATAAATCGAGGGAGATTTTATAATTTTTGATCTTATAAATTTTTTTTCAAATTAATCTTTATACTTAAAATTAAAAATTAAAATAAAATTACATAGATATACATATTATTTTGACATAATTAAAGGGACTTTATTATTATCTAAATTATTTGCTGCTTTTTAAAGGAATACTTAAATAATTCAACTAATTATCTCGAATTCAATGGTCTACTACCTATATTTAATAAATACTAGGTATTATCCACATTTCCACAAAATATCCATTGCCTATTCTCTATAACAATCCAATTTTTTATATAAAAATCCGCCTTTTAAGCTTTATTACGCACAACCCCAGGCAATAACAAAATAATTCATCAGATATATATATAAACATTCTTTTATTTCTAAATAAAGCAAAACAATCCCCTTTTCTTCTTTTTTAACTTACCAAAACCTTTTGATTAACTTAGCGGGACTTTTGTGTATACATACAAGGCGGCATTAGAAAGGCAACAACCAGTTTTTGTATAAGCATTTTTGAGCATTAGCTGCTACATAAAAGCCAGTAAGAACCTAGCAAAAATTCAAAAGTAAAGGAACAATCCAACCAAAAATGGGTATCCATTCGGAAGAAGAGAGAGGTCGTCGTGAAGCTGAAACTTTACGAGCACTTGCATTTTTTGGTGTTTGTCTCTCTACTGTGGCGACTTTAATATGTGTTTTGGTAGTGCCTTTAGCATATCAACACTTCCAACAATTTGGCACCCAAATGAATGATGAACTTGATTTTTGTAAATTGAGAGCTGGAAATATTTTGAGAGAAGTTTGTCATGAAAAACAACAAAAATGTAACATTTTCTATTTACTGCTTTTTAGGTGACTCGTACACAAATGCTTGCTGAATTGGGTGGATTACATCGCCACACGCGTCAAGCTGGATATGGCGGCGGTGAATCAGCACCTGTTGAAAAGCCGGCACCAGCCTATGGAGGTGGAGAAGCGGCAGTTGTAAAGAAGCCTCCGGCTTCAAAACCCGCAATTGCCCCAACCAGCTCCGCATCTTATGGAGAAACGGCTGCAGTAACATCTAGTGCATCAACAGGTGGAGGTGGTGGCTGCTGTGGTTGTGGACAATCTCCAGCGGGACCTCCAGGTCCGCCAGGACCACCCGGTCCGGATGGCCAGCCAGGAGAAGCTGGAAAGAATGGAAATCCTGGGCAAGATGGTTGACAATATTCATTCGAAAATTCTTAAACATAAAATTTATATAGCTCCACCTCCCCCGCCACCACCTAAAGTGGAGCCATGTCAAACATGTGAACCGGCACAGGATGGTCACCCAGGCCCTCAAGGACCACCAGGTCCACCTGGAAGTCCAGGAGAGAATGGGCCTCCTGGTGAAGGAGGAAAACCAGGTCCTAAAGGGCCGCCTGGACCGCCAGGACTTGATGGACATCCTGGAGAACCTGGAAAACCTGGTGAGCCCGGAACACCTGGATCACTCAACGAAGGTAGGATATAACAATGTTTAATAGGAAGTAATTTATACTAAAAATTAAAGGAGCACCTAAGCAAGGACCTGCTGGTCCACCTGGAGCGGACGGCCAACCTGGATTGGAGGGTCATCCAGGAATACCAGGAGACGCTGGAAAGCCTGGAGGACAAGGACCGCCTGGCGATAAAGGACCGGATGGACCGCCTGGAAATCCTGGAACTCCAGGCAATAAAGGTCCTGCTGGGGATAATGGATCCCAAGGTGGATGTGATCATTGTCCGCCACCCAGAACAGCTCCTGGATATTGACGAAAGTAAAATTGCAATTAATTTTCGATTTTATGAACTATTATTTTTGTATATTTATGTAGTTAAAACGAAATATTAAAAATTAAATGTTAAAGCAAGTGGAATAAAATCAAAACATTATCAAGTATTTTCATTCGCAAAAATTTAAAACGCCGTCTTTGTCTATCCAGGCAGTGCCCTCATGTATTCGCCTTCCATCAACCAAACACTACATTAAAATTTTTATTTTTTAAGAGTTAAGGAGAGATTTACTGAAACACTTAGTTTTCTATATAATTTTTTACACATATATTTATTCTAATCCTTATGTATTATGGAGAAACTTTTATAACAAAACTTATGTACTTTGTAAACAACAATTCCATTATCAGTACATCGAAGCTCAAAATTACCATTTATCCACCTTCGGCCCAAAGGAACGTGATAAAATTTATTTTGAGGATCATCTTCCCGACTTCCATTGAAACAACCTTTTAATTTAAATTATTTTTCTTATATTTTAATTATGTACTAAAATCATTTAATACAAAATTAGTAATGATTGTTACCCAATCTCTCAGTTTTTGCCCAACGTCCACGTCCATAAATAATACATCTTCTAAGCTGGCCTTGTGTATAAACAAACAAATGTCCAGAACGAACTAAATCTCCATAAATATCCAAACACCCAATAATTTCATCATTTATACAAGAAGCAACAAACATTCCTCTAACAAATTCTGATCTTCCAGTTCCTGGTAAATAATCACATTCAGGGACGGGTAAAGTATTGTTTTCTTAAAGGTATTCTTCTTCTCATTTATTTAAAATATTTCCAGATAAACCTTCAATCTCAAAATCTTGATTAAAATGTAGTCTGCAACTGTAGTCAACACCATCCTCAAAATAATTGAAAGTGTCTAAAGGAATATGAGTACCACGCGCGCTCAAACAATTTACAACCTTAATGAGCTATTTGACTTTAATAATAGAAGAGTTCGGGGTTTTAATTAATAAACAGAATTATGTATAGTCAAAAATTAATGATCAATTTACTGATCTCAGACCCTCTCAATTTCATATTCCATAATGTTAGTTGGACTGTAACGTTTTAGTATCAGTATATTTATCAAAAATATAAAGCGAAAATTCCTTTAAATTTTCCTGCCTTTATATGTCCATTCACACATGTTACATTAAAAAAGTTTTGATGTAACCAATATTCACCATTCCCCCGTAAAAGCCCCAGAAACATGCAACTATTGACGTTATCTTTAGAGGATCTAATTGATGAAGGATTTCCATAATAAATATTAAGTGTAATAAATAAAACAAAAAGAATAATAAAATAAAATAATCCTCCTTTCATTTACGAAAACAACCAAATTCTTAAATATTCCCTCATAATTGTTAAATTTAAATATTCATTTTTAGCTTAAAAACATCGCCCAAAAACATTTTATACACTAAAAAATATTTTTATATTTAAAAGAAATTAATATCATTTTTAATATCAGATAAGTTAAAATAACCATAAACTTTCAATATAATAGAAAATAAGCATTTATGTAGAAAGAATAACACGTATGAGAATTAAATTTATTGAGCCTTTAAACAAAAATATTTACATGTAATTAAATAAAAACATTTTAAAATATGTACCATAGATTATTTGAAATCTGTCTTTTAAATTCTAATCTATAAAATAGAAAAATACTTTGTGGAAATTCAGTTTATAATTAACGATTACTTCCGCCTATCTTTAAAAAGATCAGAAATGGGCAGACCCTTCTTAATTTTACTCAACGAAATAGATTTAAAAAGGATTACATCACAACAATTTTAGGCCTGATTCTTCATGGGATATGAACATGTGGGGCATGTGATGGTAGAAAAACAATACATCACTTGATGCTGTAGGGAAAAAGTGAAATTAAGGAAGTCCTTATATTTCTAATTTTTCCTTAAAAATAAAATGTTTTGATACCCCAAAAACATAAAAGAACGAACCTTAAATTTACTTAAAAAATATTTTAAAAATAATTTTTATATAAAATAAAATGTTTTAGTTATAGGCTCAATTATTTAAATTACATATAAATTATGTAGTGGAGAAGAGAGAGACTAATAAGGCCTGATAACGTTAAAAGAGACAATTTAGAATGCTTTAATCGAAAAAATTTTTCCTCAAAAATTAAAGAAAATTAAAATGTATCAAAACGTATCAGTCCTATGAATTAGTGGAAATTAAAAAAAGATGTTCTAAATAAACAAAAATAAATTTAGATTATTTAGTGGAAAAGGAAAAAAAAATGAAATTTAATTTAGAAAAAAATACTAATAGACTGAACATTAGAAAATTAATTATTTTTTAAAATAATCACATATTTCCTTTTCCTTTGTTTGCAAGGAAATTGGGCAAATCTCTCAGAATTTTTTTGCAATATGGCTATTCCTTAATATTTTGTTGTAATTTAGAAAAATAATTGTTGCAATTAACGACGTTGTTTTTTGAGCATTTTTAGAGTTTTCATCATTAAAGGACCCCGTTGAGGTTTTCTTTTAGCAGCAGACATAGCTGAAGAAATGTCAGAACCGCTTGAACGTGCACCTAATTGTGATGTTGTATTACGTATTGCTGAGGGCATTTGTCGAAGATCGGCATCATTTCCTAAAAATAAAAAAAATTAAAAACAATTTTTATATTCCATTTTTTACCAGTTTCAAATATTTGTCTTCTTGCTCTAGTTAAATCGACTGCAGAAGGAACTGAATCTGCACAAATAACAATTCCACTTCGTATTTGTCTTTTGCGGACGTGTCTAGGTGCAATTGGCGCAGTAACCTATTAACATAATTTAAGCAGTTAATTTTTGCAAAATAAGTTAAATGTATAACCAATAGCCTATAGTAGAGACCGGAGTGAGAGTGTCGTACGAGAATCGAGATCTCGTTTCGGTCCGGTCTCTATTATATAGTAATTATGTAAAATAAAATCCGATATATGTCAAAGATTATATAAATTCGGTGTTAACGCCCCGATCAAATTTTTTGAAAATAAGATCCAATTTAATTGTTCATGATCGCCGAAGAATCCTGTGCCGTTTTAGATACAGTGGTGCACAAAAGTAATGCCCGCTACATATAAATTTTTTATTTCAACTTGTCAAGGGTTCGTTTTTTCTTTAAAAATTTTTTTGTTTGTCCTGAAATAAACTATTTTTTATGGGCTTTAATATGACTACAAACTTTAGGATGAAAAAATTATAAAAAATATTTTTTGAAAATTTTAAAAATTTTGACTAAATTTTTCATGGTGCAAAAGTAATGCCCGCTTTTTATTTTCGACAGAAAAAATAAAAATAGGCTAATATTTTGGTTTTATTTTTATTTATTATAGAATATTAAGTAAAAATAAACACAAATGACATTAAAAAAGCAATGGGAAATTCAAAAGACCGAGGTAAAGCTCAGAGGCATTTTGGGGGGCACAAGGGGGAGGGGTATGTTTGGGGCCATAACCAACCTTAGGATGTTAGCCATGTCCTGAAACTTTACCATTTGCTAGCTAGGAGTCCTGCTAAGAAACCCACTAAGTATGAACTATATCAAGCTTTGCGCCTTCAAGAGGTGGTTCAAGATCAACACCAGTCCGTGGAGCAGTTGTGAGGGTGTTACGGAGTAATGAAAATCTTTTAAATTTTCACGGCCCTAATATGGGAAATCACATTCTTTGACTTCGAAACGATCGTTATTATCCAAAAAATATGAAAAATGCTGATGGAGGGATCTTTGTATGGGTTAATAGACACTTAATATTTTGGGTCAATTTATTCTCGTTTCCAAGATGCCTTTCTTGCAATGGCTTTAGTCCGTATGCAGAAATTTCTGGCAACACAAATGCTCCTATGTACCACAGCATTCTGCTGAACAAAATGATACCTCATAATCGGAAAAAACTAGCACCTTGTTGGAAATATATCCATGAGTATGCAGCCTCCCCCTTGTGCCCCCCAAAATGCCTCTGAGCTTTACCTCGGTCTTTTGAATTTCCCATTGCTTTTTTAATGTCATTTGTGTTTATTTTTACTTAATATTCTATAATAAATAAAAATAAAACCAAAATATTAGCCTATTTTTATTTTTTCTGTCGAAAATAAAAAGCGGGCATTACTTTTGCACCATGAAAAATTTAGTCAAAATTTTTAAAATTTTCAAAAAATATTTTTTATAATTTTTTCATCCTAAAGTTTGTAGTCATATTAAAGCCCATAAAAAATAGTTTATTTTAAGACAAACAAAAAAATTTCTAGAAAGAAAATGAGCCGGTGACAAGTTGAAATCAAAAACCTATATGCAGCGGGCATTACTTTTGTGCACCACTGTATAATTTAAACAAAACTTTTCATTTAACTTACTAATGCTTTTCGTTGTGGTTCAGCCAATTCAGTTGTCTTTGTCCTTATCTTCTTGCTGAGATGTTTTAATTTATGTTCTCGCTCTCGGAAGAATTTCTAAATTTTTTAATTAAAAAAATATTTAAAATTTTTGAAACTAAATTGGTTCGGTAGTTTATAAGACTGACAATCTAATCTCTTGTTAAAGATTGTCGCTTGTATTTTCCCTAGTTGAATATAGTTACTTAAAAATTCAAAAACCCACATTCTGACAATGAACAAGAATAATCTAGCTTGTAGACCGAATCATTAAAAAATTAATATTTCTTAATAATTTGGAAATACAAATGATTATTTCATCGGTCCCTCCCCATAAATATTCTTTTAATTTAAACCAACATAATATCTCTCTCGCCAACTTGAACAATCATCATGATAAATATATTTTTGTTGTTTTTGTTTTTCCTCTCCATCATTACTATTATCTTCATCGTCTTCTTTCTTCTCTTCATCATCATCCTCTTCTTCCTCATCATCACTTACTTCAAGTAAAATATCATTTAATTCTTTTGAGAATTCTTTTTCACAATGAGTTCTCCAAATATAATCAGTATCTTCTTGTAAATACTTAAAAACATTAAATAAAATTTTTTGTAAATATTTACAGGATTTATTTCTTCTAAACGTAATAATTGTATAGCATTAGCTTTTTCAAGTATTGGTTGTAAAACATGAAAAGGAATATCTCCAGTTTCTTCAATTGCTGAAATTTTAAAATTAGAAAAAATTTTGAATAATTAATTTTAAACAATTTCAGTCATTTAGTTGAATATCACTTTAAAGATAGACCGAAGAAAAATAGTATATTATATTGTGTTCTTACTTAATGAGAGGCGTTAATGTGTCCTTAAATATAAGGCACTTTATATTCTCAAAAATGACCCACTTATGAAAAATTTTCCTGTTCCGCGACAAAACTCACAATCAACGGTTAACTGAATTTTAAAACCATATCTAATTCAGGGGACAGAAAATGCCCACTATATTATAAAATAATTTAAAATAAAAAAAACCAACCTTCAATATTATTTATTAACAAACGAATACAAATATCATAAAGTTTTGGCACTTTCTGCTCCAAATGTAATCCATTCTTCTTCCTTCCAGCATAAACTCTTCGATTATCCTTGGGTTTTTTAAACATATTGATATCTAATGAAGGTGGGGCTTCGAAAAAAAGTGGTTGTGGTTGTTTTTGCTGTGGTGCTAAAATAAATAAAAAATAATTGATAAAAGTGAAAACTATTACTCCTTTTTGATACTTTGTCTCATGAAAAATAAGGGAGAAAGGCAGGAAAATGAAAAAAAAATGGTAAGAAAAGAGTGCGGGGTACGAACCGCACTCTATTACTAAAATCACACTTTTAACTTGATCCTTGTTAGAATAAGTATAAAAAATTTAAACCTGCTTGTGTAAATATTGAACTGGCCAAGGAGTCTCTAATTGAATTTTGAATACTTTCGGGTGTAAATTTTTGAAGTTTTTTCTTTGTTTTGACATTATTAGAAATTTGATCAGCAGCTGCTAACTGGGCAGAAAAAGCATCAATTTGTTGATTATCATTATTGCCTAAAATTTAATTAATAAATCAAGAAAAAAACATGAGTAAAGAAAATGTCTTTGATTAGAAAAAATGGGAAAAAGAATACATAAAAGGACTAAAGAAAATCAAAAATTAGCAAGAAATTTACCTTTAATAGATTTTTGCTCAATTTGAGTTACAGTTGATTTTGTTTTTTTCTAAAAAATTTTTTAGAATAATTTCTTAACAAATCTAAAAACTTTTGGCACAATTGGAGTTGGAATGTATTCACTATCGGAAACATTTAATTCTTCATCATTAACATATCCATTAGTTTCTAAAATTTAAATTTAATATTTTCCAAATTTTTCTCAAACTTTACCTCTTTTAATCAAACTTTTTGGGTGCTTGATTTGAATAAAATCAGAAATATTACATTCCTCACTTTGCCTTTCTTCATCTTCTTTCTTTTCTTCAGCTGCAGCAGTTTCGGCTCGTGCAATTTCTTTCCATCGAGAAACTAAAGAGGAAACACGATCGCCCCATAATGGGTGTTTACGTAAAGAATTCACTGTTTTTCCAACGCCTGAAACTTTTGAATTTTCTTAAATATGAAAAAACAAAACCTGTAGCACTGAGAATATGAAGTGTAATGGCCACATTTTCTAACCGTCGAAGTGCATGTCCAATCTATAAATATTATAAAACATTATCTAGAACATAAGGGATTCAGCTAGGAATATCCAATAAATTTTAATAAAGCAGTTAAAAATCCTTAAAACCCCTTTCTAACCTTATCTTCTTTTTCAAGCATTTTTGCCCATCTTTCCACTTTTTGCATAAGATGTTCATCTTCCATAATTCAATTAAATATTAAAAAATATACGTGAGTACTTTTAAAAAGAATAATGAAATATGTTCAGACGTTTATTGAGAATTTATATATTTTATAACACAAAGAAAGCAGTTTATAAAACAAACACACATAACTGACTTTCCATGCAAACCCTTTTTCTCTTTTCCCTCACTACATATCCACACTATTTCCACACGTGCCTACAATTTAAAATTAAATCAATTTTTAATTTTAACTCAAACATTCAAAGAAATATTTTAAAATTTTCTAAAAATTAATTTATAGCCCCAATAAACAAACAGACAAATTCAAAAAATATTTAAAAAAACATTTATTAAAAGCACAAATACAAAGAAATTGTTTTTAATTATGTGTCATATAGCTTGGAGTCGAACTAAACTTTGCATATCCTTTCACCTGAAAAATTAAAAATATAAAAAAATTTCTCAGAATTAATACCGATGGGAAAGATTTAGAAGAAAAGACAAGTAAACGCACCCTCCCCTCCCCCAAAAATTTAGAAAAACTACAGAATAGACGGCAATTGGTCCAAAAAATTAGTCAATCACACTTTAAATAATATTCAAATATTTTCGGGTATTTACCAAAAATGATGACAACTAATAAAAAAATAAAAAACAATTTTCCCATAAATATTTAAAATTTGGAGTTTACAATTTGCCAAATTTATCGCCCTCTAATTTTTAATTAATTTAAATAGAAAAAATTACTCACCACTTTCTGAACAGCGTCAATAAAATCCTTTTCGGTTATTGCTTTACGACGAGCACGTAATGCGAACATTCCGGCTTCCGTACAGACAGAACGAATATCAGCTCCTAAATAAGAATTTTGGTTTTATAATTTTTGTTATGAACAAAAATTAAGAAAAATGCATTAATCTTAAAAAAAATTAATTTCTACTAAAACTAAGTTTCAAAATTTTGCCGAAAAGAAGGGATTTCACAAAAACGTTTCCCAAAATAATTTACCTGTTGTATTCGGGCAAAGACGCGATATCAATTCATAACGAATATTCCGATCGACGCTCATCCGCTTTGTATGAATCTTTAGAATGTTTGCACGTGCTTCCAAATCAGGCTTTAAAATTTAATTGAATAAAATTAAAAAAAAGTCATTCAAACCACGGCGAATTCAATTCGACGATCAATACGTCCTGGCCGTACAAGTGCAGGATCCAAAGTATCAGGACGATTTGTGGCCATTAAAACCTAAAAATGATAAATGTTAAACAAAGTTACACAAACTTAATCCAGAACTGTTTTAAAAGGACCCGAGAGAAGAAAAGCGATTTCTCACTCGAAAAATATATTTACTCACTTTGATTGCACCGCGCGAGTCAAATCCATCTAGCTGATTAATCAATTCGAGCATTGTCCGTTGAACTTCATTATCTCCCCCCATTCCATCATCAAAACGAGCTCCACCAATAGCATCAACTTCATCAAAGAAAATAATACAAGCCTTCTTTGTTTTTGCCATCTCGAATAATTCACGAACCATTCTCGCTCCTTCACCAACATATTTTTGTACCAATTCAGAACCAATTACACGAATAAAACAAGCATCAGTTCGATTTGCTAGTTAAATATGCAAAAATTATTTAAAAAAATTATTTAATTACCGACAGCACGAGCACAAAGCGTCTTTCCTGTCCCAGGAGGACCATAAAAGAGCACACCCTTAGGGGGTTCAATACCAATATTCACAAAACGTTCAGGCTGAAATATAAAAATTAAAAGTAAAAAGTAAGATGTTAATTAAGAAATTTTCAAGGTGAAGGAGGTGGGAAATAAATTTTTAGTATAATGCTCTGCTCCTAGGCATTTTATGTTATGTTAGCAGTAAAAGGGCAGTATTAAATCAAAGAAACAAGGAAATAATTTAAAGAAAAATTACATGAAGGAGAGGCATTTCTACAACTTCTCGAAGCTTTTCTATTTGTTCTTTACAGCCACCAACATCAGCATAAGTCACATCCGGTTTCTCCTCGACTGTCATCATTGTCACAGAAGGATCAATTTTTGCCGGTAAAGGGATATGGATCTGGAAAGGAAAAATAAATGAGGTAAACGAGAAAGAATAACCTGATATTTGTTTCGATCAACCCCAACACGCATTCCTTCTTCAATGTCGGTGGGCGCAACTTGTGTGGCCAAATCCACAACAAATTTAGCAAATTGTTTGACATTAATCATATAACGCGGATCTTGACCTTCAGTTTTGATTATTTTTGTACATCTAGCAACCTTAAATTATTTATTAAAATATTTTAACTTTGTTTTTAAAATGAATTCTTTATTTGAGGAAAAGAAACTAGGTCTACCGAAAAACAAAACTAAAAACCTGAAGAGGCTGCTCATGAGCAATAGCATGTTTATCGGCAACAAGATCCCACAAAGCAGGAGGAGCAAGGCCAGTATCGCTTTCTTTGACACCACAAAGTGTATTGATATTCTTTAACGCCTCTTGAATGTCCGTATCGACTTGCCTCAATTTTTCGGAATACGGCCCCAAATTGTAACTTTTTAAGGCGGCTATTTCTTCCTCCCCCAAAGCTAGATAAAAATAATTAAAAATTTATATAAATTAAATCAAAACCTTTAACTTCCTTCTCCTCTTCCTTGGAAATTTTATCCTTTGAATCGGTTGTATCCATTATAATTTATGCAAAATTAGCTCTAAATAAAGCGAATAAATTATTTCTAGCGCTAAAAAATTAAAAAAAATTTTTATATTTTAAATTCTCGTAAAATTTTCTTACAAAAATCAAAAAAAAAAATAAAAAATTTATTTTATCATCAATTTTAAGATGGGCAAAACGTCTAATTCATTTTGACGTTTGACATTTAAACAAATTTTACATTTCGCCAAGAGTATTTTGCAAAGTTTTAATTATTTAAAGTTGCGTCGATTCGGAGTAGAAAATTCAGAGTAAAGATGATTGAAGAGTAGGATCCCATACATAATCCTTTTGATTTCTGATTGATTCGAATGTATAACCTTGTAACATTTTATAAGATGGTGAAATCAGAGCGGCCCAATTATGAAAAATATCCCGTATCTTGAGACCTTTCGATACTATGTGTATGTACCAACCGGCTTGAAAATCACAAATTAAAAATTTTCTATAATCGTGAATAGTACTTTTTCTTGTCAAAATATTTATTTATAAAAATATTTTTTATGCACAATTAACATCTGTGTTATTTAAAATATCTACTGCCCTCATCAAACTAATAAATAAACCAACCGGCTTGAACCCTTTTCAAAGATGGCGCAAGTAGATATAGGCGTGTCCCTCCTTTAAGCATTGAATTATTTGGATAATGCTGCCAGCCGACTCCTCTAATTCTTCCCTCTCCCTAAAATATACATACCCGCCCACCCATATTTCATCTCGACCCTCTTCCACCTTCCGTCTTCGGGTCATTTGCTTGTTTAAACATTTGACTTTTTACTCATTTACTTTGGCATTTCTTGTATTGGATTGTGCACTCACTCATTCATCCAACTCACGTCTACTTATTTCTAGTCAACAAATCATAAGTTAAAATAAAAAGAAAATGTCAACATCCGAAAATAACGAACAAAAGCCTGTAAAAGTAAACGGAATTACAAATGGGAAAATTAATGAAAATGGCAAATTAAACGGAATAGCTAAGGATACAAATGCACAAGTAAAGACTCCAACAACTAATGGAACTAATTCTGTTAATGGTGTTGTAGCTATGAATTCTCCTGTGAGTTTGTCCTTACAGATTAGTTAAATAGACCAGCAATTTATTCTCCCTGATTTATTATTGTTATTAAAGAGTGTAGTCTATTGTAATCTAGGATAAACCGGTTGGTTTGGCGATAAGTTCTGTCATTTATCTCTGATAAAAATTTAATGTGAATGGGATAAAACTATTTCTCTTGAAAATTATCTTTGACAGTTATAAAAGCGATATTTTATCTCTGATATACCCTAAGTTTTATATATTAAATTCACGCCTTCCTTTTGGTTACGGGCAACTGAATATTAAAATTTAATCTGGATTTTTAAATGTTAATTAATAAAGTATTTCACGATTTATGAAGGCAGTTTCGAGTTTGTATAATATTTTTCTAGTATACTAGAATATTAATTTTAATATTCAATCATTATACTAATTTGTTATCTACTCAAGTTTCTTTTCTGCTTATTTTTTTCAAGTTATTTTTTTGTCCCTAATAATATTTTTACTTAATTCATATATTACATATTTATATTAAATAAATAGTTTCAGTTTCCTGTTTAATAATGTGATTTTCAATCATTACAAACATTATTACATACATTACGTTAATAGAGTTCGATTTCTTGACAAAAAATAACGGGGAGAGCTTTTACAAAAACTTTGCGTAAATGAATTTTTTTATTAAAAGGAGGTATGCGAGAGAGAGAATGATTTATTATTTTTACTTTTTTTTTCTTGAATATTTTCCATTGAACTTTAATTAATTTTTGTTTTTGTAAAAAGAAGAAATTCTATATTATGGTGAGAGAAGGAAGGAGAGAAATTGTTGATCTCCTCAGCATTTGACTGTCAATTTATAAAAATTATTATCAGTTTTATTTTTACATAATCATTTATATTTTATTTTATTTAAAACATTAAATTGCTTATTTAAATCAATTCTCTATTAAATTTAGCTAGAGGATCTCATTAACGGATTTAAAACTGTGTCTCAAACCCAAAAATTTATAATTTTGGATTTCTAAAGATACAATCTTTTACATATTTATTAAAGATCCATTTTTAGAACTACTTTTTATCGGAACAACCAAGTTTCCTAATAATTTCTTTTAATTTTCAAAAGATTCTATTTTAGTGGATAATAATCATTTACTGACAACTTTTATTTAATTTTCCATAATTTTTTAGACCACGTTCCAAAAAATTGGTCGAGTTTAAATCATTCATCCAAAAGTTTTTTTAAAAAACAAATTTAGATAAAAACTACCTAAGTAAATTATTCGTTCCAAACAAAAATAAACACAAAACTATACAAAAATGGCGGCTGCCACAAATAAAAGGCAAATTATTAAAGAGAACGGCAAAAACGCGCATTTGGTTGAGCAGTCATTGCCTTCCAAGTCTTTGGTAGCTTTTCGGCAAATTACCTCCGTCAAACCAGGCATCGATGCATGCCGTCGTCAACATCGATTTGGGGGCTCTAGCCAGGCGGAAATGGCCAGCTGGGACCGCCCTGATGAAAAGAGTAAAGAAAAAGGGACGATTGAAAAGGCCCACCCCAAGGGACAAAAACAACAAAAAGAGCAGCTAAAAAAGAATTCCTCAACAACAACTAGTAGTATTGGCTTTTATAGTAGTAAAATATCCAACCGAGTTTTGCCCACCACTTATTCATCTTCTTCATCTCCCTCTCTTTCAATTTCTTCTGTTTCTTCGTCTTCGGTCTATTCTACTCCTTTTTCTTCCAAAAACAACTCAAATTGCCAGCCAATTTCAAATTATTTGACAAAGGAGTCTTCAATGGTAGAAGAAAAAGCATCAGAAGAGAAACAAGAAATATTTAAAAATAAAATGATTGAAAATCAAAAACTTGTATCAATAGAGGAAAATGGAGGAAATTCGACAATTCAAAATGGAATTGCCAAACAGAACGGGAAAGGGGAATATGAAGGATTAATATTATATTATCAACGTTCAAGATCGCAATCACCGCCTTGGTTGGGGCCTAAAAAGGTTTTTAATTAAGTATAATTTAGTGTATCTTTACTTTATTTTACTATAAAGTTATACTTAGATTTTTATATGCATAGCACTTTATAGGCAGGAGCGTTTACTTGAATGTGGATACTTAAATTTTAATTAAAAATTCCATACAAATTTTTATGTATTATGTTGTTTTATCCTACTAATTAATGATTTCTTGAGGCTAATTATACATATAAGCATATATGATTAGGTTGTTAAAGGTTAACCTAAACACTGATAATTTCTTATCCGAATTGCAATTCTGATATTTCTCCAAATTTAAATGTTATATATCATTAAGTATCATGATATATAACATGATACTTAATATTAATCATACATATATTAATCTTAAGTATCATTACAGAATATTTTATATTGTTTAAAATTATCTAGAATATTAAATTTTAATTATTAAATTATCTTTTCTTTATAGTAATATTTTAATTTCCATATTCTTTTATGTAGTATATTCTAGTGAATTAAACCAATGAAAATTTAAATTATTTTCTAAGGAATAAAAGAAAATTAAAATATAAACCATAAAAGAATTCCTTTTATTTAAGCTTTTTTCCCAATTTTTTGCAAGCCTGTGCCGGCCTAAAAACCGAATTTTAAATAAAAATTGGGAGATTGGCTGACTCATTTAATTAAAGGATGAGCAAGAAAACCTCTCTTTTCTCTCTCCCTCTAACAAAAAAAAATGAAAAATGTTGTGGAATTTTATAAATGGTAATTTTAAGAGAGAATTCGGACATTTGGATAAATGAGGGAATGATATAAAATTGTTTAGTTAATTAAAAATATGAATTAAATGGAGAATTAAATAAATTGGGGTTTTTAAAAATATTAGAGAGATAATAATTTTATATCCTTTATAGACTTTTAATTTAAGAGCTAGTTTAATTAAAATCTAAAAATTTTTTTTCACTATTATCGTATACATAGACAAAGAAATCCAATTTTTCTGGGATTTATCTTACTTATTTTATTTATTCCCGTGGTGATATTGAACCTTTAAATATTATTTCAGAAGCGTTGTGCCCCAAAATTGAACACACAGGAACGCTTGTTCGGCTCGCCATTGCCTGAAACTCCAAAAAAGAAGGTCCTTAATTTTAAAAAATATTTTTAAATTTTTTAAAAATTATATTTATTGATAAAAAATATATCTTTTGATAAAAGAAATATAATTTAATAGGTAATCGAGAAACATCGGTCAACAATTTTTGATACTTCAGCTCCTAGTTCACCTTCAAGAACTCCAAAGAAATGTGTTCCAATAATAGGTAGATTATATAAATATTGTTATTTAATAATTAAATAATTTTAGAAAGAAATCCAATAACAGGCGAAATTAAAATACCAAAGAATATTACAATGTAAGGTGTAATAAAATATGAGAAGAATTTGAAATGAGGAGCTTGGCTATAGTAATGAATTTTGAATTTTTGCTATAAATTCGGAAAAAATCAACATAAATTGTTTAGGGGATTCTATTTTGAAATTTTTTTTTGGATTTTTCAAATAAAAATTAGAGAGCGAACTTTGAAGATATGCAAGTTTGGATAATTCAGATTTGGCAATTTTTAAGCAAAAAATTTGTATCCTTCTTGTTTTCATGGCAGTTTGTTTCTCCTACAATGGGTCCGTGTCAAGTGTTTTATACCGTGCATTCATGCTGGAAAGATACGTAACATTTGACACGGATCTCATTGTGTGAGCCGTGTATATTAAAAATTTTTTTTGGGTTAATTAAAATATTCTGTCATAGGATAATTCTAAATTGGCACTTTGTGTTATTTTAATTAAAGATTCAAGTGATCGCTCTCTATTTAAAATAATTTCACGATTAAATTAAATATATTATTTTAAATTTATGGGTTGCTAAATTACTAATTCCCGTCCCTAATTTCTTACAAATTAGTTGCTTGATATATAAATATTTTATTTGATTATATTCATATCTAAAATAAAATTGTGAAAAAAGCTTCTTAAATATTTTATTAAAAAAAATATTTTTATAAAATTATGTATTTATTTAGTTTTATTTTAAAAGGGGTTTACAAAATTATTTTTTTATTTACTAATTTTATTAAAATAAACGAGAGTTATTTTAATAACAGGTTTAATAACTCCGAATAGTAAATAAATGTTTTTGTTTTAAATTCATTTGACTTTATGAATTCAAAAAAAACATATTAAAAATTTATTATTAATTTTTACTAAAAATTGTTTATTGCTTCGGTTGGGTTATCTAGAGGCCTTTTAAGGCTAAAAATAATATTGTAAGCTCAAAAATATAAAAAATTAATTTAATTTTTTAATATTTCATCCGATGCCTGTCTCGGTACGAGGGATCACACGCTGGATTAATCAAAGGGATTTTTTATAACTCCAGGGCCCTATTTCAATTGTCCACAGATTCTGCGGTCTGCGTTCTGTGCACAGACCACAGAACCACAGAAATTCTGTTTCAATTATTCCACAGATTCTGCGGAAAAAGAAGTCCGCAGATTCTGTGGAAACATGCACAGAATCTGTGGAAACATCCACAGATTCTGCAAAACATCCAAAAACATGCAAAAACCACAGAATTCTATTTCAATTATTTTTCTGTGCACAGAAAAAAATCCACAGATCTGTGGCTTTTTTAGTCGATTCTGTGCATTTCTGTTTCAATTATTTCTGTGGTCTGCGGAAAATACACAGAATTCTTTAAAAAATCCACCCTAAAATTTTTTCTGCGAACTTTCTGTGGAAAAACTTTAACAATTTTTTTCTAGGCCTAGGCTTAACCAAATTTCAAAATTTTTAAAGATTATTAAAGTTTGAATCATTCTCTATTTTTTGATATAAAAATTATAATTTTATTACCTAAAATTATTGCTTAAAATTAATTTTGAAAAAGGTACATCTTTTTTACGCAGTTTTTGTTATATTCAAGCAATAAAAAAATAAAAAACGTGAGAGATTCTGAAATTTAGAGCTATGATGTTCTAATCATCATGGATATCTCTAATGAGGGGATGTTTACCAGGATCTATAGAATATATCTGTATAGCGTATACTGGGATATCTCCCATGATCTCTCATTGATATCCGTCATAATCTCTCCTCCTATTTAATGATAGATTTCCTCCTTAATCACTCCAATATATTAAACCTCAAAATCAATGGATATCCCACTTAATCACTCCTCTACGATTTTAAAGTTCCGATTTGACTATAATTTTGGATTCCAGGCATTTTCGATTTCCAGGAACCTCAATTTCTGACTAAACAATCCCCAAACATTTCCCTCCCTTGCAACAACTTCTATCGTAGTTTGAAAAAGCCACATGTCGGATCGACATCTCCTGATTTTTCCGATCCGAACCCTGCTTTAGGACATTAATTTAATTGGAGATTTAAGGATATTGGATGAACAAGAAAATTAAGCGGTATATCAGCGGTTTTAAAGTGATATCAAAGAGATTTAAAGGGATGTTATGTGATTTGGAGGGAAAATTTTTAAATCTTTACAATATTTTTCAGTTTAATTTAAGAATTTTTAAAGTTTTACTTCAAAAAATCAGGTACCATTAATACTGCGGTAGTACCGAACTGTCCAAACCATTTTTCGTTTCAATAAAACTGTTATTTTCAAAAACGCGGAAATAAAAAATTTGAATTTAGAAGAAAAAATACACAGAACCACAGAAAAATAATTGAAATACAAATTCTGTGGATCAGTGGAAAAAATCCACAGATTTTTATATTTTCCACAGAAATTTTCATCCACAGAATCTGCGGAATGTTTCCACAGAATCATTGGATGTTTCCGCAGAATCTGCGGGCACCACAGATTCTGTGCACACAGAATTTAATTGAAACAGAATTTCCACAGAATCTGTGTTCTGTGCACAGAATGCAGAATCTGTGGACAATTGAAATAGGCCCCAGATATTATATGTGGAATTTAAATACACATGCAGAATTTTACGGGACTGATCTTGCAACAATAGTTACTCCTTTTTTAAAATTATTCACACATGCGGAATCTCGCAAAGCTACATATTTTATATTAATATATGTAAATTAAAGAAATTTAAAATATAAATTTTCTAAGAAATGTTTAAAATAATTCTAATATATTTTAATTTAACTATATTATTATTGTCCACTTCCTTAATTGATGCCTCGCCAGAAAAACAACCAATTATAACATCGAGACTTTGTACAAAGATGCATAAAATTAAAGTTTGCTTCATTTAAATATTTTAAAAAATAATTTTAAATTTTTTTTTGGCTGGGGATAGCTGTGAAGGAACTGCCAAAAAATATGGAATATCAATAGAACAATTGTATACAATAAATCATTGGAATGCCGAAAAATGCAAAAAACTTGCTGTTTGTTTTTAATTGGATTTTGAAATTTAATTAAAAAATATTTAGCCAGGAGATTTTATTTGTGTTGCGTGAAATGAATGAATGGGAAGTTGAATTGAGAAAAATATCCATTAATTAAAATATATCCATTTAAACTTAATTAAACTTAAATAAACACAAACTAATTTAGAGATAAAATATTAAATTTATTAACAAGCAAATCAGAATTGTAAATTAGTAACTTCGGCCCTCGTCATTTGTTTTTATTCTGTTTCACACAGTTTTTTTTAATCTCGATACTCGAAACTATTTTCAGGCTTTTATAGTCTCAATTTAAATTTATGATTATAAAAGCAACCTCCAAAGCCTTTTGTGTTTATGCACAACTGGTTTCGTCTCGCACAGATGGACGTGGACAAGCTACTAACTCAACTCAACGGCCAGTCGTTCGACGTTGCAAAAAGCGTGAGTTTCTACATAATTTTTAGTATATATGAAATTATTTAATTTTTAGGTAGAGCCATCTATTCTTGCAGAACTGACCCGAAAGGCGAAGGCAGTATTTCAAGCGCAACCTGTGCTTCTAGAACTCGTTCCACCACTTGTTATATGTGGCGATATACATGCTCAGTACAATGACTTACGTCGTATATTCAGCCAACTTGGACAGCCGCCCACAACTAGATATATCTTCCTTGGAGGTAAAAACGAAATTCTAAAATGCTTTCTGGCTACTAAAAATAATTTCTCCTCAATTCTAGATTATGTAGATCGAGGGCCACAAAATTTGGAAACGATTGTATTGTTGCTGTGCTACAAAGTCAAGTATCCAGCTTGTTTCTACCTTGTTCGCGGAAATCACGAAACAAGTCCGGTCAACGCCATCTATGGATTCAAGTCAGAGCTTGAACAGCGATATGGCCAAAGAGATAACATCGGCCTGTTTTGGATGTTCAATGATGCGTTTGCTCAAATGCCTTGTAGTGCTCTAATAGGAGGTGAAAATATTCTTTAATTAAGATTCTTATCAAAGATATTATAGATCGGATTCTCTGTATGCACGGGGGCCTGTCGCCTGCACTGACTGAAAGAGATCAACTACGACTTATTAAACGCGGATGGCAGGATCCTCAAGGCGTCAATATAGCAATGGATTTGCTTTGGTAAAATCTGAAATAAATTGAAATAAAATTGGTTTAAAATTTAGGTCTGATCCTGAGCCTGGAACAAAAGGATGGAAGTCTAGTCCGAGGTAAATAAATATTTTCGTCATCAAAAATATTTTCTGTTCTCATTTCAGGGGGTGCAGCTATTTATTTGGAGATGATATACTGTCAGATGCGTGTCGTAAACTTGATGTGGACGTAATTGTAAGGGCTCACCAAGTTGTACAGGACGGATACGAAATACATCCAACTCAAAAATTGGTTACTGTGTTCTCTGCACCAAACTATTGTGGAGAGGCAAGAAATTATTGAAATTGCAATCTTATTTTGAATAATTTCAGTTTAATAATGCTGGCGCTGCTATGCACGTGGATGTAATGTTGGGCTGCTCATTTTCTCAATTTTGGCCGATTGATACTCCACAGCCATCATCACCACACAAAAAACCGACATCAATAGCAACATCCATGCCAGTATCATCTCGCTATGTACCCTCTACCGCGGCTAATAAACCACCTTCTACTACATATGTACATTCTACTACAGCTAATAAACCACCAACTCCAATACCATCTTCCAATGTTGGTGCTAAACCCTCATTTCATGTAAAGCCCACCGCACCAGTGAAATTGTTAGCTTCATCTCGCTATACCTCTTCTGCTGCTGTTCCTGCTTCTAAGCCTACTTCATCATCTTATGCTACCTCATCTCGTTATGTTATGTCCACTCCTCCCCCGACTCCTCCCCCGAAAAAAACACAACCCCCAGCAACTAAGAAATAATTATTTTATATAGAAATTTATTTGTACGTGCCTATATATTGTAGTCGAGGGATTTTATTTGTTACATGTTATTTATAAAAATAAATTTATATGTTAAATGGTTTTGATTACAAAATATTTTTAGGGATTCAGGGTTTTGAATTAATTACTTTACAGGCTTCAATTTTAAGTAGATTTTAGGCTTAAAGTGAAAGAGATTGAAGACTGTAAAGTACATAAAATTAAAAAATATCTGCCTAATTTTAGAATACTCGTTATTATTTCAAAAATCTATTTATAGAAAATAACATGAATATATTTTGAAAAATAATTTTGGCTCTACTCCAGTTTATGCGTCCAATCGACTTTTATGCGTCCAATGAAAGTTTATGCGTCCAATAAAAAGAAAATTGGATTTTTCTTGGTATTGTAAAGTTGGCGTATGGCTCCAAACCATTTCTTCATGTTCGGGACCTACGTCCACTGGGTCTGGGACCGTTCCTTACCCGACCCCTCGAAATTTCTGAAAGTTATAATCGTTTTTCTGAAATTTTAAAAAATTGCCTGTAACTTTAAAAAATTTCGAGGTATAGGGTAAGGAATGGTCCCAGACCCAGTGGACGTAGGTCTCGAACATGAAGAAATGTTGTGGACCCATACCCCAACTTTACAATACCAAGAAAAATCCAATTTTCTTTTTATTGGACGCATAAACTTTCATTGGACGCATAAAAGTCGATTGGACGCATAAACTGGAGTAGAGCCATAATTTTTAGAGATAAACTTAAACATAAATAATACATAAATAATTATGAGAAGGAAAAATGACTAATTCAAAAAAAGTTTTAACATTTAAGGAATATTTAAAGACATTATTTAAAGTATAATAAATTATGAATAATTTAAAAAATAATTATTTGCCCTATTTTTAAAATAATTATATTTCGTTATATTTTTTTGTAAAATAATGGATATATATAATAAATATTTTTCAAAGGTAAATAATTGGGGGTTAATAATATTTTTAATTTTTTTTTTAAAATTTTTCTTTATAAGTAAAAAACATTAATTAAACAAGCAATAAAATGTTGAATATTTATTCATTAAAGGTTAGAGGTGTTAAATGGCTTTTGGATAAAATTAGTTTTTTAAGAAAATAGAAAATTAGTTGAATACTTTAAATCCAATAATTAACTAAAATAATTGTTGAAAGGTATTCTTTAATGTTTGTTCAAAAATGGTTACTAATAGGGTTGGACACAACCAGTTATTAACCGGTACCCCCGGTTATTGGTTAATTCAAATTTCAAAAACTTGCATTTTGGTTTTGAGTTTTGGCTAAATACCCGTTTTATTTTTGGGGAAAAACACTCATTTTGTAGATTTTCGGTTTTTAAAATTTCATGAAATACGTTAATTTTTGGCAAAGAATATCAAAAGTTCCGGCTTTAAAACCGGTCGCGTCCAACCCTATTTGCTATTAATTTCTTTTTGTGCAATTATTATTTTTAGCTACTTATTTTCTTTTTCTTGGCAAGTTTCATTGAACGTATTTTGGACAGTGCATATTTACCCAGAAGTTGTTCTTCAAACAATCAATGTCGAAAAGGTACTTCTGACTTTTACCTAAATTTATTTCTAATTTCTAAAGGTCGTATATGTACAATGGATGTTTGTGTACCTGAAATATGTTATTCCTCAGACCAATGCCCTACAAGTATTTTTATATAAAGTTTTGCGAGAATGTATATTTATCTCTCGAAGAGTTAAACAAGAGTTTCACATCTCAGTCTTTCTCAGAGGGTTCCTAAACTTAGTGTTCTCGCAAACCTAACTCTTAAAAATTTGGTAAAAATCAAAAAAAATATTTTAAAGATTGGAATTGTGCCAGAAACATGAAATGCCTTAAAAGTTGTCAAACAATAGATGAATGTAAAATTGGGTGGATATGTAGTAATAATGAAAGAGTTTGTGTTCAAGAAGGTTGTCGTTGTCGATCAGGAGAAAGTTGTGTTAGAGGCCGTTGTATTCCAGGATGGATTGCTTCTCGTCTTGATTTCGATTGAGAGGGATAATAAAATATAAAATATATTTTAAATTATTTTGTTTAAATCAAAAAATTGTTTAAAATTTAAACTTTTTATAAAATTTTTAAAATTATTTTTTACTAAAATTAATTTTAATTAGAGAATTATCTATTTACAGAATTATCAAATTAACGTTGCAGAGGAGTTCGAGAAACTTGAAAATAAATTCTTTTTTGATGATTTAACTATTCATCGAAATAATTTGGCAAAAAACGCTAATTTTTTAATTTAATTTTTATTTAACAAAGAAAAAAACAAATTAAAAAAGATTCTAAACAAATTCTAAACAAATTCTAAACAATTCTAAACAAATTATTATTCTTCTAATTCCTTTTGAAAAGCAGCACGTTTATTAACTGAAAGATAAAATTATAAATAAAATTAAAACTTAAAAACTTTTAATTAGCCAGGGCAGCCTCCTGCACATGTACCTGGACTACATGGTTCACTGCAAGCTCCAGCAATTAATGAAATATTCATTGCCGAAATAAATAAAGATAAAATAAAGAATATTGAATTGTTCATTTTATATTTTAATTAATTTTTTTCTGTTGCTTTAACAAAAATTGTCTAAAATTTTGAATAAACTATATGAGAGTTAAATCCTTTAATTATAAGATTTAATTACATAAGAGTCTTTAATTATTGTATCTGTTTTTTGGATAGTTAATATCGGGATAATACAAGGTTACTATTAGAGACCCAAAACTATTAGAGATTCTTTCTTACACAAGGGCCCTTATATTTTAATTAAATCTCATAATATATTGGATTTTACTTGTATAGTTTATTTTTGCAAAAATATTTTAGTTATCCTAAAAGATTATTTCATATTAAGCCAGATATTATCAGTTGAAAGTTTTTATTTTAATAAATTTATGATAAAAAAGAGAAATTTGGAAACATTTAAATAGGCCAAAAAAACAAGCATTAAGTAAATAAATAATAAAAAAAATATTTTTTTATTATTTTTAATTGTTTGTCCAAAAAAGTTTTGTTTATTTAAATAATTCCATAGTTTTTTAGACATTTAAATAATAAAATGAATTTTTAATAAAGTAAAAATAAACTTTTTTTTTGCAAATTTACTTAAAATGTCTGAGAATTTTATTACTTAAATGTCTCAAAATTTTATTAAAATAATGTCTTAAATTTTAATATACTTATTTTTTGTCTGGATTTTAATTTTTTTGTTTACAAAAAATTAAAGAAATCTAGACTAACAATAAGCATCAAAACACAAATTTAACAAAATAAAAATTAAAAACCAAAAATTTAAGAAAATATTCACTTTACAGTAATTTAATAATCACTTAAATAAATTAGGCAAAGAAACCAAAATAAAAAAATTATCTAAATTAGTTATTTTTAAAAAAAGCTCCCTAGAGGTTTTTGAATGTTTTTAAATAATTCAAGTATTAGAAAATATTGTAAAATTAGGAAAAATCTAATCCGTTTCTAATTTTTTGAAAATGTTTAGATTTTAAATATTTATTCTTTAGAAATTAAAAAATTTTGTGAAAATAATATTTATAAACATTTAAAACTACAATAAAAAGAAGTACAACATCTCTTAAAATATTTACAAAAAATATTTATTTAATTATTTTTATAATTTTCAAAATATTATTTTTTATCAATTTATTTATTCAATTTTATCTATACTTTTTCCTTAAATTTTTATTTTAATATACTTTAAAAGTATCATAAAAATCCACATTTTACCTACTTTAAGTCAGCATTAGTTAAAGCATATGCTTAAAACAACCAACGGTCAAAAGCCATCTCTTTACTTGTTTGGCATCGTAAAAAAAACTTTTTTTATTTTTATTATTTTCTTTAAATTCCTTTAATTTTTGATTATCTTTTTTTCTCCTCACAATCAAATTAGTTTTCCTGTATTTTATTTGATTGGTTTTCTGTCAATTAAAAATTAAAATTAATACAATTTTATAAGGAAAATTAATTAAAGAAAAAAAAATACAGTCAAAATTAATTATTTAAATTTAATTACATAAATTTTAAAACTTTAAATGCGAATATAGTATCTTCAAATTTAAAAAATGGCATCAAAATTAATTAATTACAATAACAATATTTCCTTAAATTCTTCCAAAATTTGTTTATCTCAACACAATTTGCGTCTTTCTGCTCATTTTGTTGAGAAAATATTTATTGGAATTTTATTGCCTCCAATTATTTTGTTTGGTTTAATTGGGAATTGTTTAAATCTTTTAATTTTACTTGGAGGAAATAAAAGAAAAATTGCTAGGTTTTTAAAATTATTTTTTAAAAAATTAATTTAAATTTAAATTAAAGACCAGACATTTTATTATCTTCCCTTGCTTTGTTTGATGCTTTATTTTTAATTTTATTTCTTCCAAATTCTTTGGCACATTTTGATTTATTTTATTTAAATAATTTATTTCGAAAATTTTATTTTTTGTTTAAAATACACATTCTTGCATTAATTAATCAGCTTAGTTTTTTTTTATTTTTATTAAAAAAATAATCTTTTTAATTTTTAGATGTTCAGCAGCTGCTATTTGGTTTTAATTAATTAATTTTTTAAATTAATTATAATTTAAAATTCTTTAGGATTATTTTGGGTGTTTGTTTTGAACGTTTTATAGCAATCAGTAACCCTTTAAGTATTCATAAAAGTCGACCTTTTGGTATTAAACTGTTTTTGGTTATAGTTATTATTGCTACTTTTTTGTTAACTTTTTATGTTCATTTAAGGTATTTTAATAAAATTAATTTAAAAAAATTTCTTTTGGGAAAAATAAGCTTGGAATAATCAAATAAAAAATAAATTTAAATAAAAATAAATTTTTGAAAAATTAATTTTTACAAATTTACTAGTTATCAATGTATTATTAAAACATTTTGCAATGGAAGTCAATTATATTCTTTTTGTTTCAACATTGATTCAAAAAAGTTTTTTAACAAAAATCTTAAAAAATTATTTTTTTTTTAATTTAGATGGCAAACAAATAATTCTTTTCTGGCTAATTCTCAATTAATTTATTTGTATTTACATTATAGTCCTATAATTCATGCAGTTTTTGTAGTTTTTCTTCCAACAGTTTTAATTATTTTTTCAAATTTAGGACTTTTATTTGCTTTATATAAAAGGTTTTAATTAAATTAATATCCAAAAAAATATTAAGAGAAGTTAATTTAATAAAATCTAAAATAATCTAAAATTGAAGTTAACAGTTACAGATACCCGGAATCTAAATAAATTTTTGGTTCAAGAATTTATTTTTTTCAATTTTTAAAATTGAATAAAATCCTTAAAAGACATATAATAAACTCTAAAAATTATTTCTAAAATTTAGAAATTACCTTTCCGGATTTATTGGCCATTCTGATAGTTTAAAAACAACAAAATCTTTGGATTTAAACAGAAAAAGTATTTGTTTAAATACATTTCGTGTTGAATATCGTGTTACTTTTATTGTGGTAAAGAAATTAATTTTAGTTAATAATTGAAACAATTATTATTTTTTAATTAAAAGGCAGCAATTGTTACAAACTTTACACTTACTCAGGCTAATTAATTTAATTTATTTAATTATTTTAAAATTTAGACGCCATCAGCAATTATTCAACTTTTTGTCGGCCCAGTTTCAGCAAAAGATCCTTATGTTACCCTTGTATGTTTATTCAGAAAAAAATATTTTTTTTATTTTTAAAAATTTTTTAGAGAGCTTTAACTGTCTTCCTTGTTACTTTAGGCAAATCTCTTAATTTTGTTATTTTTTGTTTAAATTCTGCTAGCTTCCGTTCACGTTTAATTAATTTTGTTAATTCAAAAATTAATCAAAAAAGGTGTTTTATATTAATAAAAAATATTTACTCATATATTAATTTTTTTAAAGATTAAGTTTAACTTCAAGACGTAGTCTTTGATTGAAAGGAAACGAATAGATTGTATATAAAATTTAATATGTATTTTCTCAATAACAATTTTTATATTTTCTAAATATTTGTTAGCATTTAACAAGGTTTCTATTTTAAAATTTATTTAAAAATGTGGAAAAATTAATTTTATAAATTTTTTGTTTTAGTAATTTATAAAAATTTAGTTGCAAAACATCTCAATTCTTATCAGTTTTTGGTGGAATAAATAAATGAAAATCAGAACATTTTATATTTAATTGTTTTTTAATAAATTAAATATTAAATTAGTATAGTTCTAATCATTTTTGAATATCTTTTAAAAAAATAATTAAAATAAATATATAGTATATTTATACCGGATTTAAAAAATTAATTAAATGCTAAATAATTTTAAAATTAATTTTTTCAATTTAATTAATGAATCCTACAATTATGAATATTCTAAGGAATGGGTACAAAACAATTTACCTATATTCTTAATTATTATTTTATTTTATATTTTATTAATTAATTTCTCTAAATTATTTTTAAAAAACAAAAAGATTATTTTTAATAATTCAATAAATAAAATTTTGGCTTTATGGAATTTATTTTTGGCTGTGTTTAGTTTTATTGGATTTTTTAGATTAACGCCAATATCTCTAAGTTTAACTCAGAAATAATTCATCTACAAATACAAAATTCAAAATGTATTAATTTTATTCTTATCTATAGACCTCCAAATACAAGTACCATTCAGACTAAAAAACTTCTTAAACTAATTGAATCCTTTATTTCTTTTAACTGCATCATATTAGGTGACTTAAATTTTGGAACAAAGGATTTAAATTGGGTCAATAATATTCCATATTGTAAAAACAATCTAGGAGATCTATTTGTCAAAATTTTTTTTTTTTTTTTTTTTTTAATACTATGAATTTATTTTCCACCACACCAGGTCCTACTAGAAATGATGCATATTTAGATATTTGTCTAACAAATAAACCTGAATTATTTCATGATATACATGTTGATGGGTCTTTATTTAACTCTGATCATGATGCTTTAATCTTTGATTTGTTATTCCCAATAAACAAAAAAGAAGTCAAACCAATAAAATATAGAAAATATAATAAAGCTAATACATCTTTATTAAATATATTTTTATCATCTATCATTCCGATCATATCCGTACAAAGTTTTTATTTGGAAGACAAATATAATCATCTCATAAATAACATCTTAACATCTCTTGATCTTTATGTACCAGAAAAACATATAACTAAAAAAGACCTTAAACATGATTACCCACCTCACTTGAAAGCATCTATTAAAAAGAAAGCCGAAATTTATAGACAGCTTAAAACTGATAAAATAAAATATAAAGAATTATATGACAGTATATCATTGCATATAAAAATTCAAACTAGAAACTTTCATAGTAAAAAACAAAATGCTTATATCACTAAAAATAAAAATTCTATTCATAATTACCTTAAAAAATTTAAATTTACTAATAATGAAATTCCAGTTCTCTTCCATAACAATAGATATATCACACAATCTATAGATAAGTCTGAAATTTTTGCTGATATCTTTCTTGAAAACTTTTCTAACATTAATATGCAATATGAATACAATATCAATGACTATAATCAGGTACCTATCATCGAGGATGTTGACTTTGACATAACTGATATTATCAATATCATTAAAAAATTATCAAATAGAAATGGTACTTCACCTGATAATATAAATTATAAAATATTAAAGATTGTACTTCCATCTATAGCTCCTTTTTTATTAGAAATATTCAGAATATCATTAGATTCAGGAATACTACCAAATATTTGGAAAGAATCTATAATAATACCGTTATTCAAAAAAGGAGAAAAATCAAATCCTGAAAATTATAGGCCTATTGCATTAACTTGTGCCATATGTAGGGTCATGGAAATGGTTCTTAACAAATATATTGTTCAATTTATGCATGATAACGATCTGTTTAGTAATGATCAATTTGGATTTATAAAAAATAGATCTACTACGACACAACTAATCACTACATTAGAAGATTGGTATGATGCAATAATGGGAAAAAAGAATATTGACTGTATATATATTGATTTTAAGAAGGCATTTGATTCAGTACCACATGACCTGTTAATCAATAAATTATATAGAATAGGTATAAGAGGAAAAATTTTAAGTTGGATTTCAGCTTTTCTTTCGAACAGAACTTTTAGAGTCAAAATTAACAATACGTTATCTGAACCTAGAAATATTAAATCAGGTGTACCTCAAGGATCAGTTTTAGGCCCGTTATTATTTTTGATTTATATTAATGATTTACCTGATATAATCCCAAAAGGTGTAAAAATTAAACTTTTTGCCGATGATGTTAAAGTATATGTTATACATAAAACTAAAAATGAAAGAAGAATGCTTATTAATGCTATTGAAAATATTGAACAGTGGACAACCAAATGGAAATTAAATATAGCTATAAATAAAACATATATAATTTATCTTGGTAAAAATAACCCGAAAGATCAATATAAGATTTTTGATACAACTATAAATGAGGTTGATTCAATACGAGATCTAGGCATCATAATAGATAATAAGCTTAAATTTAAGGAACATATACAAAAAATTATCAGAATAGCGTATATAAAAATGAATTTCGTGTTTAAAATAATTAAGTCAAAATCTACTAAAACTTGGCTTACTATCTATAAAAGTTACATAAGACCTTTGCTAGAGTATTCTCCTGAAACTTGGAATCCACAACAAAGATCTGAAGTTAACAAAATTGAAAAATGCCAGAAATTCTTTACAAAAGTCCTTCTTAGAAAATGCTCACTGCCTTATATACCATACTTACAAAGATTAGAATTTCTTAATCTTCCATCCTTGGAAAACCGTCGTAAGACTTATGATCTAGTCTTAGCTCATAAAATTTTACATGGATATACACATCTGGAATCCGACAATCTTTTTAAAATATCAAATAGAAAAAAATGTTACCTATTATCTAAAAATCAAAATTCTAAATCATCTAACTCATTTGTTAATAGGGTAACTAAGATGTGGAACGTTTTAAATGATGAAATTAGAACTACAAAAATAACCCCTAGTTTTAAAAATAAAGTAAAAGAAATACTTATTCAATAGATCTAAACAAATCTGTTTTTATTGGTATAATCTAAAAAAAATTTTTTTTTTCTTTTCTATGTTTTTTTTTTTTTCTTTCTCTCTCACATTCTCGGTTTTTAACTATATTTAAATGACTACTATTTTGCATATTTGAATAAGGAAATTTCAAATTAATAAATAAATTTTATTGTTTGGCATTATGTTCAAAAATACATCTAAATGACAATTTATCCTATTGTTTCTTACTCAACTATACTATTTTTCCTTTGATGACTCATTAAATTAAAAACATAGTTTTTCATTTCTCTTAATTTTTATTTTTGCCCTTTTATCTCTTTTAAATCAATTTTTCATTTTTAAGGACTTTTGAAAAATTTAAAACAATTGGGTAATATTGTTTGACTAAAATGTCTAAGCGCAATTCTTCTGAATTTTCTCCATTAAATTTTGCAGCAAACATGACAAACAACGAAAAACGCAGCAAAATTGTAGAGGAAATTATTTTTTTTTTTTAAATTTTGACAATTTAAGATAATTAAATCAGTACACTTTCCTCTAGCTTCATAAATTTAAAGCATCCTATTTAGTTAAAATGGTCGGTATGGAGTATATTTATTTAAAGAATAAATCAATTATAATATTAAATTTGTGTTTTTTTTTTAATTTATTATGACTTTATATGCTGTTTCTTATTTTATTATTTTTATTGTGCCACGCTACGACATTGTTGTCGAATTAAGTGGCACGCCCTTTCGATGACATTTTTTTTTATGTTGATAAATAAATAAATAAGTATTTACATTATAGTCCTATAATTCATGCAGTTTTTGTAGTTTTTCTTCCAACAGTTTTAATTATTTTTTCAAATTTAGGACTTTTATTTGCTTTATATAAAAGGTTTTAATTAAATTAATATCCAAAAAAATATTAAGAGAAGTTAATTTAATAAAATCTAAAATAATCTAAAATTGAAGTTAACAGTTACAGATACCCGGAATCTAAATAAATTTTTGGTTCAAGAATTTATTTTTTTCAATTTTTAAAATTGAATAAAATCCTTAAAAGACATATAATAAACTCTAAAAATTATTTCTAAAATTTAGAAATTACCTTTCCGGATTTATTGGCCATTCTGATAGTTTAAAAACAACAAAATCTTTGGATTTAAACAGAAAAAGTATTTGTTTAAATACATTTCGTGTTGAATATCGTGTTACTTTTATTGTGGTAAAGAAATTAATTTTAGTTAATAATTGAAACAATTATTATTTTTTAATTAAAAGGCAGCAATTGTTACAAACTTTACACTTACTCAGGCTAATTAATTTAATTTATTTAATTATTTTAAAATTTAGACGCCATCAGCAATTATTCAACTTTTTGTCGGCCCAGTTTCAGCAAAAGATCCTTATGTTACCCTTGTATGTTTATTCAGAAAAAAATATTTTTTTTATTTTTAAAAATTTTTTAGAGAGCTTTAACTGTCTTCCTTGTTACTTTAGGCAAATCTCTTAATTTTGTTATTTTTTGTTTAAATTCTGCTAGCTTCCGTTCACGTTTAATTAATTTTGTTAATTCAAAAATTAATCAAAAAAGGTGTTTTATATTAATAAAAAATATTTACTCATATATTAATTTTTTTAAAGATTAAGTTTAACTTCAAGACGTAGTCTTTGATTGAAAGGAAACGAATAGATTGTATATAAAATTTAATATGTATTTTCTCAATAACAATTTTTATATTTTCTAAATATTTGTTAGCATTTAACAAGGTTTCTATTTTAAAATTTATTTAAAAATGTGGAAAAATTAATTTTATAAATTTTTTGTTTTAGTAATTTATAAAAATTTAGTTGCAAAACATCTCAATTCTTATCAGTTTTTGGTGGAATAAATAAATGAAAATCAGAACATTTTATATTTAATTGTTTTTTAATAAATTAAATATTAAATTAGTATAGTTCTAATCATTTTTGAATATCTTTTAAAAAAATAATTAAAATAAATATATAGTATATTTATACCGGATTTAAAAAATTAATTAAATGCTAAATAATTTTAAAATTAATTTTTTCAATTTAATTAATGAATCCTACAATTATGAATATTCTAAGGAATGGGTACAAAACAATTTACCTATATTCTTAATTATTATTTTATTTTATATTTTATTAATTAATTTCTCTAAATTATTTTTAAAAAACAAAAAGATTATTTTTAATAATTCAATAAATAAAATTTTGGCTTTATGGAATTTATTTTTGGCTGTGTTTAGTTTTATTGGATTTTTTAGATTAACGCCAATAATGTTTAGTTCGATAGAGAAAAATGGAATAATAAGTAAATAAATATATTTATTAAATATATGTATTAATTGTGGAAATTATTTATATATTTTTTACAAATTAACGAGTAATCTAATACTGACAAATTTTTGGATTAAAAGATGATCATTGAGGCAAAATCCCCCTTTTTATTTCTACCGCCCTCTGTGAAAATCACTTAAAACAATTTCTGATTATGTATATTAATACTCTTCCGAAAGTAATCTTAAAAAGCGAAAAGCGAAACACCACTCCTAACTATGTATATTTTTTAATTAAAAAGTATATTTTAAATATTTTTGTCATAATTTTATACACAATTAAGTTAAAATATAAATTTGCTCCTTAATAAAAATTTCCAAGGAGTAACTTCAAGTTTCACATTTTGATGCTAATAAATATTTTTATTAAATTATTAACTAAAAATATTTTAATTAAGAGACATATACACAAATTACCGAACTTCAAACAAATCAAATTTCTGGTTTTTGGATATTTATTTGGGTTTTGTCTAAAATACCAGAATTATTTGATACTTTATTTTTGATCTTAAAAGGAAGACCTATTCGATTTATGCATTGGTTTTTTGAAATTAAAATTGTTAAATTAATTTTTTTAATAAAAAGGTTTCATCATTCAATGAGTATTTTATTTGGAACTATAAACTTTATTGGAGATAATGCTTATTTAGTTTGGGTTGTTTGGATGAACTTTTTTATTCATTCAATTATGTATAGGTAAGTAGAAAATATTTTTATTTAAACTTAAAGGATATTAGGCTCCTTAACAAAAATTACTTTTTGAAAATATAACCGGATCGTCTTTAATAATTAACATTTGAGATGACAAACCAAAAATTTTATTAAAAAGGTCATAAAAATACTTAAAAGGAATAAAAACCTTAAAGGAATTCTTAGTTCAATAATTTAACAGAAAAATATAAATTAAATATTTTTTTGTAATTTCAAATATTTTTTTTGATATTTTTATACTTTTTATATAAAAGATAATTTTACCTAAAATTTACCAAGTTTTTTTTTGATTTTATTAGAGCATATATGGTTTATTAGATATAGTAAATTAATTGATATGATAAATTAATTGTAAAATATTATTTTTTAAAGTTATTATATGTTAACTTGCTTTTCATTTCGTTTCCCAAAAATTATACCTCAATCATTAACTACATTACAAATTATTCAAGTATATATTTAATTTAAATAATTTATTTAATTTTTAGTTTTTAATAATTATTTTCCAACTTATTCATATTGCTTTTTTAAAACTTTTTTCTGAAAAAGTTGATTGTTCTATTTCTTCTGGTGGATTTGCTATAGGAGTATTTACTACATTTATTTATTTAAAATTGTGGATTGATTTTTATTTAAAACAATATTTAAATAAAAACAAAAATAATTAAAAAGTATTTAGTGATTTTAGATAAATATTTTTATTAATAAGAATTTAATTTTTTATTTTGATTTTTAATCAGGGCTTCGATCTCGAATTTTTAAAAATCCGCAATTTTAATCGAAAAAATCCGCATTTTATATGAAAAATCCGCAAAAAATTATCAAACACAAAAATTGAATTAAAATCACTTTATGCGTTATTTTTTTGACTCCATCAATTGAATTGAGCAATTTTTCCTACTAATGACTATGTATTTAATTAAAATCCGAACAATTTAATGAAAAATTATGTTGACTTGAGCCAGGCCAGTAGCCAGGATTTTTTTTCGGAGGATGGGGGGGGGGCAAGGGGAGAAATTTTTTCTGTGCCAAATTTTTTGGCGCCGAAGGCGCCAAAAATTTTTATTTTTAGCGCCGCAGGCGAAAATTTTGAGAATTTTGGAGCTCATTAAACTAGATTTTATCCATTTTCAGCGCCGCAGGCAAAAATTTTGCGGATTTTGGAAGGCCATGAAGACAAAAAATGGCATTTTATCCTAAAAACTACAAGAAAATACAAAAAATCCTCATAATCTTCAAAAGACCACAAAAATCCGCAAATCCGCATTTTTAAAAATAATCCTCATCGCTCTATCAAAAAACCACAAAATGAGGAAAAATCCGCAGAAATCGAAGCCCTGTTTTTAATTATACCTAATCAGAATTTGAACATCTGAAATAAATCAAAATTAATTTTTAGATTGAAAAACTCTCTAAAAATATTAATTTCCTTAAACAAAAAATTAAGATTAAAATAAATAATAAAAAATTCGGATGGTTTAGTTAATTCCAGACAGTTCTTCATAAGTTTCTGATAATAGTGTATGTACTACATATATTTATGAAATTTAGAAAAAAATATTTTTAATAGATTTGATATTTTAATATTTAATTGAAAAATATTTTTATTTATCAAAATTTATTTTAAATGTTTATCTTCATTAATAATAAATTTAAAAAGAAATAAATATCTTTTATTAATTTAATCATAATAAAAGGACTTAGTCATACTTTTTTAAAATTTTGTCTTTTAATTATTTAAAATTAATTTTTATTCTTTTTTATCCAATAATCTATTCCTCATTAAATTAGCCAAAAATGACGAATTTATTTTTGAAAATTTCCATTTTTTGATGAGTAAATGGCCTAATGCTCAAACAAATGGGAAAGTTCAGTACCAATTTGAATAATAAAAAAAGTCAAGACTTTGGCTATATAAATTTATAAAACAAAAGACGAAATCACAATTCAAATTTAATTGAATTATTAAAAAATAAATGTCCCAAAAATTAATTATTTTATTTTTAATTGTTTTTATAATATTTTTTATTATAAAAAGTAAGTAATAAATTATTGTAAATAAAAAAAATAATTAATTAAAATTAAATCTTTAGAAACAATAAAGTCGAAAAATAAAAAATAAATCAAAATTATTTAAATTTTTTAAAGAATCATCATCTAATACAACTTTAATTGATGAAAAAATAAAACAAAATGGAGAAATGATGGAAAAGGATTTACATAGAGTAAAGAGAGATGGGGATGAAGAAGAAGGAGGAGAAGACGATGGTCATGAAGGTGATAAAGAAGACGAGAATGGTTGGGGAAATGGGGATTGGGGAGAAGAAGAAGAAGAAGGAGCCGATGATTATGGAGGTGATAAAGAAGATGGTGATGAAGGGAATGGTAATTGGGGAGAAGGAGAGGATATTGGAGAAGAAGAAAATAAGGAAATTGAATGTGATGAAGAAAATAATAAAAAAGCTGAAAAAGAATGGGGAAAGAAGAATGGAAAAGGCAGCGGTGGGGGAAATAAAAATATTTTTGCGATTTCACAAGATGTTAAGAAAGGAAAGGGTTCGATTATGCTTGTTAACAAAAACAGAAGAAAAAGGTAAATTATTAAAAAAAATTTTTTTCTAAAAGATTTATTTTTTATAGTAATTAAATTCAAAAATTTTTAAGTTTATTATTATTAATTTAAAAAATGTACAATAAAATTATTAAAAAATTCTTTTTATTTTGCAGACAAGCTGATGATGATGGGGAACAGGAAGATAATGAAGGTGAAAATGAAATTGATGATAGCGAGAAGGAAGAAGCTGATAAAAATGAGGGTGGTCATCACCCAAAGAAACATGGTGGAAATCATAATGAATTTAGAGTTAATCAACATGTTGGGGGTTCTGGAGGGACAATTACAATTTATAATAAAAACCGAAAAAAGAGAAATTTAAATGAAAATAAAAAAGAAAAAGAAGAAGAAAATAATGATGAAAATAAAATTTTAATTAAACAAAATGTTGGGGAAAAGGGTGGATTTCTTGGAATTTAAATGAAAATTGGAAGAAGTGAAGAAGATTAAATAAAGAATTGTGAAATGATTTAAAAGAATTAAATATTAATTGATATATTTACTTTACATTTTAGTATATTCAATTGTTAAATGGATAAATTAATTGTTAAGAATTTATATTTTGAAGAAGTTTTATTTATTTACAAGGTTAAAATTGTGGATTGATTTTTATTTAAAACAATATTTAAATAAAAACAAAAATAAATAAACAATATTTAATAATTTTAGTTTTTTTTTCTTTATCGAACACAAATAAATATAATGTGAAACAATAAAATAAAACTCCTGGATCCACAGGGATCACTTATGGAGAGGTAACGTACAAAAAATCAAATACAATATGACGATTTTTTAAATGTTAAGTTAAAAAAAATAAATAATGGACTCCACAGAAAAAAAAATTAAATGTATAAAATTAGATGTTATAAAAAATATATAGGTATATTTAGGTATAAAAAATATTTGTATTAATTTTTGATTTTTATTTTTAATCTTAAACCTTAACCAAAAAATTAATAAATTAAACATAATCTAATTTTTGGTTAATTCCAGACCTAAAATTCTTCTACTATTAATATAAAAAATTTAGAAAAAAATAAAGAAAAAACCAATATCAAATATACTGCAAATCATAACGTATTTTAAGAAATTACTTTAAAATCATGAAAAAAATTAATTGCAATATTTAATTCAGAAATATTTTTGTTTGCATATCAAAGTTTAATTTTATGCGTTTTCTTCATTAGGAATACCGTAATTCCTCTAATAGAATGCCCGGGCATTCTATTATTCAATCACCTTTAAAAAAGGGGCCATTCTATTAGATGGGGGGCATTCTAATTGAGGGGGCATTGTATTTTTCGGTAAGTAAATTTTAGAATTTAAAAAATATTCGACTGGCAAACTCAATTACCTCAAGCTTTAGTAGCCTGTGTTTTAATTATTTAAAATTAATTTTTATTCATTTTTATCCAATAATCTATTTATTCCTCATTAAATTAGCCAAAAATGACGAATTTATTTTTAAGAATTTCCATTTTTTGATGAGTAAATGGCCTAATGCTCAAACAAATGGGAAATTTCAGGTACGAATTTGAATAAAAAAATATTTCGGCAATAAGGATTTTGGAAAACAAAAAACAAATTCAAAATTCTAATTTAATTGAATTATTGAAGAATAAATGTCCCAAAAATTATTTATTTTATTTTTTATTGTTTTTATAATATTTTTTATTATAAAAAGTAAGTAATAAATTATTTTAAATAAATGAAAAAATAATTTAAAAAATTAATCTTTATTTTTTAAAATAAATAAATATATTTTCGGCTAATTAAACTTATTTGAGACAAAAAATAAAATAAACATAAATTAATAAATCAAAGAAAATATTTGAGTTATTTTTAAATTTAAAGTAGGGCAGCAACGCGACCCTTCGGGGCGGGTATGTCGGATGCTACCCTAGTTTAGGCCAGATATTTAAATAATTATTTTAAAATATTTTAATAATGATATAATTTTGAGAATCATCTAATACAACTTTAATTGATGAAAAAATAAAACAAAATGGAAAAATGATGGAAAAGGATTCACAGAGAGTAAAGAGAAATGCTTATGGTGAGGTTGCCAATGGAGAGGTTTCTTATGGAAAGGATGCTTATGGAGGGAAGGCTTATGGAGGGAAGGCTTATGGAGGGAAGGCCTATGGAGGGAAGGCCTATGGAGGGAAGGCTTATGGAGGGAAGGCTTATGGAGGGAAGGCCTATGGAGGGAAGGCCTATGGAGGGAAGGCTTATGGAGGAAAGGCCTATGGAGGGATGGCATATGGAGGGAAGGCATATAGAGAGGATACTTATGGAGAGGATGCTTATGGAGAGGATGCTTATGGAAGGAATGCTTATGGAGAGGATGCTTATGGAGAGGATGCTTATGGAAGGAATGCTTATGGAGAGGATGCTTATGGAGAGGATACTTATGGAGCGGATGCTTATGGAGAGGATGCTTATGGAGAGGATGCTTATGGAGCGGATGCTTATGGAGAGGATGCTTATGGAAGGAATGCTTATGGAGGGAATGTTTATGGAGAGGATGCTTATGGAAGGAATGCTTATGGAGGGAATGCTTACGGAGGGAATGCTTATGGAGGAAAAAGAGAAAAAAATTAAATAAAATTGTCGGGTTCAAGTAATTTAAATGAAAGATGGAAGAAGAGAAAAATTAAATAAAAATTGTGAAATGATTCAGAAGAATTAAATATTCATTGACATATTTACATTATATTTTGAAGAAATGTTATCTATTTACAATGGTATGGTGTGACTAAGAACCGAAAAAGCATGAATCCTCAGTAATTCATACTATTTAATCATAAGAGGATGTGAGAGAAGACAATTGCAACTATTGTGCCAGTGGTTGTAAGTAGAGTTCAGCGGGATCGGGATCCCGGTCGGGATCGGGCGGGATTATCCCGGGTTTTTCCAATCCCGATCCCGATTTTTCTGATCCCGCTCCCGAAATATATATCCCGATCCCGATCCCGGCCAATCTCAATCCCGAGCCGGGATCCGGGATCGGGATCGGGATGTGCATCAGATCCCGATGAAAATCCCGACTTTATAAATTGACTAGAAGTCTGCAAAATAAAGTTAACAGAAGAGGGGAGGCATGAAAGTAAGAAAAATTTTCGCCTGCGGCGCAGAAAATGGAAGAAATTTGGCATCTTGCCATCCAAAATTCTCAAAATTTTAGCCTGCGGCGCCGTAAAAATGAACAAAGCTTCATTACAACTTTAACGAAATATTGAGTGATTTGGTGTGATATCGGGGGATCAAGAAGGGTTGAGGGGAGTATCGGTGGATTTGGAGTATAGAGGGATATCGGTGAATTTAAAAGGATTAAGTTAGATTTGAAGAGAAATCGAGGGCTTAAGAAATATTACTACATGAATATTACTACATGAATTTCATCCCTATATTCCTATGATCCCTCCTCCTCCATGATCACAATATCATCGATATCCCACTTTATTTCCTCAACTCTCTTAATACATCTAAAAAATTATTGGGATATATTTTTCCTCCAATATTTTTAGGTGGGGCTGCATTATTTTGGAAGGCCCCCCTTGGCCTTCCAAAATCCCCCTTGGCCTTCCAAAATTAAAAATATGGCATGCGGCGCTTAAAAGGGGGAAATCTGGCACGTTGGCCTTCCAACTTTTTCAAAATTTTTGCCTACGGCGCTTAAAATAGAAGAAGCCCAATCCCATTTATTCCCCCCATTACCTTATGACCCCTTAATCCCCTGAACCGTAAAGTAAATTATGCGTCTATGAGAAGAAAATAAAAATTTAAAAATTAAAAAATTTTTTTAGTAAATCCCGATCCCGATTTTCTAATCCCGGTCCCGATTCGGGATCGGGACCGGGATCGGGATCTCCAGTCCAAATCCCGATCCCGATTTCGGCTAATCCCGATCCCGTGTCGGGATCCGGGATCGGGATCGGGATCACCATTCCTAAATCCCGATCCCGGGTTTTTCTCGAAATCCCGATACCGCTGAACTCTAGTTGTAAGAAGCGTCTCTCATTTTTTTGGCCCTGAGTCTTGGAAAATTATCGGTCTTGAGAGTACCCATGCTTAGGCATCTTTCCCAAGCTAGTGCTTGACAACATCTACGAGTACCAAACTTAGTCATATACATTATTAGGGATATATTATAATGAGATTCCATCGAATTTATACATTTTATTTGCTAATTTAAGTTGTTTTTTCTTCTTTTCATTTCATATTGTCTTCCAAGTTCCATTTCTTTCCTCTCTTTTCTCCTTAATTTTCTTTCAATAACTTTTGGTGGTTTATCAGGCAAAGATTTAATCCATGGAGGTAATTGTTGTTGTTCAAAATTTAAATTATTTTTTAATTTCCTTTTATTTTTAATTCTTGATCTAGTAGAAGAAATATTATTTTCATTAATTGAGGGTATTTTATATCCATTGTCTGCCCTTTCTGAGAGAAGTTTACCACGAAGTCTCTGATAATAAAGAAATACTAAAACAACTCCAATTCCCTAAAAATTAAAAAAAAATTTTTTCCAAATTAAAATATGTACATTTGCAGCAAGAGAAATAATAAATTCAAAAACAGAAAAAGTTAATTGTTCAGCAAATATATCTCCACTCCACCAAAGAATTGAATAAACTGTACATAAAATAATTAAAGGAATTGAAGTAAAAAACCAAGGAAATATCCAATTTGGAAATGACTTTAAAATAGTTTTCTGAAAAATAATTTAAAAATTATTCTTTTTACTTTATTACAGCCATAAAGCATTGCTATTGAGTTAGGTAAATGGATAATAGTTAAACCAACACAAATAAGCACTATAGCATATAATGCTGAATAAAGAATTATTTTAAATAATTTTGGCTTTTTTTATTAGCTGCTAATTTACCATTAATTTTTCTAGTTTCTGGTGTTTCTGTATACCTCGCATAAAGACCTGGAAATCTTGCCTGATATTGATCAATTCTTTAAAAATTTCATTAAAATTTTTTTTGGAATTTTTTAGCTCACGCGCCAGTAGCAGGCAATTCTCGATTTTCCCAATGCCATTGCCATTCTTTTACTACTTGTACTTGCCAACCAAGTAATCCAAATTGAATTAAACAATAAATCTGAATACTTTATTAAATATACGTTAAATAGTTATTAATTAAAACGAATTTTTTGTTGGTTTTTGTTGGTTCTTAATATTATATGTATCTTTTACAATCTTGCGACATTGTTGGAATCATAGATTACTTGGCCTGTTAAATCTTTGATTCAAAAATTCCCGAAATTAGGACATATATAATTATGTCTGTCTTTAACTCATCTAAAAGTTTATTAGCTACTCTTAATAAAACAAAGACTTGCAATATTCCAAATTCCAACAGCAATACTTACACATCGCAGGCATTTAAATGGATCATTTTCTTTTGCCATAATTTAAATTTTAAATTTTTATGGATTTAAAATAAATAATTAAATAATTTTAAAAAATAATATTTATTTTTATTGATT